CGCTTGATTTTCATGCCCCAAGCTGGCATATCCCTGAAACAGCCATTCACCTGAAATAACAACCTGTCACTGCCAGCGTGAGAAAATAGTGGTGCAGGCCTCTTCAATAACGGAAGATACAGCTTGCCTAATTTTCCCTGTCATTCTCCTTTTCTATCTCTCCGGGGAAATGACCTTGCCACTCAAACTGATGGCAGTGGCTGGTTGCTGTTATTGAAAGCAGCAATTTAGCTCACAGGGGAGGAAAAGAATGAACACTTCTGGGGATTGAACATTATGAATTATGACAGAGAAAATGGATCTCTGATGAGGGCTTGTGGAGTAATAGCTCCTCAAGATGCTGATCTCTGCGTGCATCCAACAGAGAGTTAATAAAGCCACTCGACTGCTGGTTGAATCACAGCATTCAGTATCAGTGGTTTAAAAGCTAATATTTGTTGTATAGGTGGAGCGGTAAAAAGGTATGAGAGTGATAATGCTAATAACAGGCATGTTAAAGTAGAGATCATTTTACTTTGGCAAAATGGGTCTGACTGGCTCAGGCTACATTCCATCCTTTCATGAAGTCCAGTTCAGCTTTATTGTGGCAAAACTGTGACACAGTTGGCTTTTCACTAATGTCTTCTGCCGGTGGACCGAGCTAAGAGGAAAATTGTTCTGAAAGAAAATGATGTGCTAGATTTGGGGGGTTCTTTGTTTTAAATAGCAGATAGAACCTTTAGAAAAAAAAATTAACAGCAGTAATGTAAATATCACGTAGCGGATTATTGCTGCACCACCATCTTGAATAACCCTTAAAAATACAAAAACAAAAAGGTTAAATCAGTAAATTATCCTATAACACATTCTCATATTGATAAGTACAGCTACCATACTTCAGTCCTGTAATCTCATGCACTGCACAGTTTCATGTTTGGAAATGACGCAGGAACAGAAATGAAAAATAAACAATATATTTTGCAGAATGCACTAAAAAAAAACAGGAACAAAACTAGTTTCAACTGTTCCAGAATCTTTATTTTAAAATGTGGTTACTGATTAATAATGTTATTTTAATAGGGTTAATTTTCATACAATCATGATTAACGACTAGAGAGGCACTTTTTTATACCATTCAGACATGTTGACATTGTTTGTTTACAGACAACTTTTAGAAATCCTGTTGTGCTTCTGTGTCCAGTGGGGTCCAGCCTCTGCAAGTCAGTAAATTCATGAATGTCAGCTAGTTAACTGTGGGAATTATCAGCTAACTTTACAATTGTTTCTCTGATTGAGTGAGCGTTTCTTGAATAAGTGAACATTTATTGTCATTCTGCAGTGGCAGTAACATCAAAATACTCTTCAGAGTATCAACATAGGGTGTCTTATACAACCCCAATTCCGAAAAAGTTGAGACGCTGTGTAAAATGTAAATAAATATAAATAAAAACAAAATGCAATGATTTGCATCATTTTACCATTTCATGAAAAACATTAACTCATTTAGAACTTGATGGCAGCAACGCATCTCAGAAAAGTTAGGACAGGGCCACGTCTACCATTGTGTAGCATCCCCTCTTCTTTTAACAACAGTCTGTAAATGTCTGGAAAGTGAGGAGACCAACTACTGCAGTTTTGCGAGAGGAATGTTGTCCTATTCTTGTCTGATGTAGGATTCTAGCTGCTCAACAGTTCTGGGTCTTCTTTGCTGGATTTTTTGTTTCATGATGGCCAAATGTTTTCTATTGGTGAATGGTCTGGACTGCAGGCAGGCCAGTTCAGCACCCAGATTCTTCTTCTGTGAAGACATGCTGTTGTGATGGATGCAGTATGTGGTTTAGCATTGTCTTGCTGAAATATGCAAGGCTTTCCCTGAAAGACTGCTCTCTGGATGGAAGCATATGTTGCCAAAAGCTGTATATTTCGTTCAGCATTAATGGTGCCTTCACAGATGTGCAAGACACCTATGCCATGTGCACTTATGCCCCCCCCATACCATCATGGATGCTGGCTTTTGAACTGTGTACTAATAACAAGCTGGGAGATCTTTACTCTGGAGGATGCAGTGTCCATTATTTCCAAAAAGAATTTCAAATTTTGATTCATCTGACCACAGGACACTTTTCCACTTCGCTTCAGTCCATTTCAAATGAGCTTGGGCCCAGAGAAGTTGGTGGCGTTTCTGGATCCTGTTTATATATGGTTTCTCCTTTGCATGATACAGCTTTAACTTGCATTTGTGGATTTCACAGCGAACTCTGTTCACAGACAATGATTTCTGGAAGTGTTCCTGAGCCCATGCAGTGATTTCCAGTACAGAATCATGCCTGTTTTCAATGCAGTGCTGCCTGAGGGCCCGAGTCTCTGAATCCTTTGATGATATTATGTACTGTAGATAGTAGGATATCCAAAGTCTTTGCAATTTTACATTGAGGAACATTTTTCTGAAATTGTTCCACGATTTTTAGAGGCAGTTTTTCGCAGTTTGGTGAACCTCTGCCCATCTTTGCTTCTGACAGACTCTGCCTCTCTAAAATGTTCTTTTTATACCCAGTCATGTGAGTTGGTTGCAAATTGCTCCTCCAATTGTTTTCTTATTAGTACCACTTACTTTTCCAGCCTTTTGTTGCCCCTGTACCAACTTTTTTGAGATGCGTTGCTGCCATCAAGTTCTAATTGAGTTAAGATTTTTCATGAAGTGGTAAATGTCTCACTTTCAACATCTGATATGCGTTCTATGTTCTATTGTGAATAAAATATGGGTCCATGAGATTTGCAAATCATTGCATTCTGTTTTTATTTACATTTATTTACATTTTATACAGCGTCCCAACTTTTTTGGAATTGGGGTTGTACTTTGTGTGGTCACTATGGTCCCAAAACAAAATGAAAACAGATGCATTCATGAGATCCTGCTGGTGTGAGTTCATCCGCATCATGGCATTCCTCTCTTTTAATGATGCAGATAATTGCGATTTAATAGTAGCCCCCTTGTGGAAAACCTTTATGCTGCTAAAAGTGAGAGAGGAGGTGAGGGTGTGAGTTGCACAATACCATTCAAAATTAAAAAAAAAATTACATTGCATAAGTTATTATTGAATAAAAGTTACTAATATGCCTTTTGAACTCTAGTGTAAATGAATGAATTTATTCATAAACCAAATGTTCATGTTATTGTGGTACGTTTTCTTTCAGTAAAATTTAAATAATTGAATAAATGAATAAATGAATATATAAATACAGTCGAGAAAACTGAAAATGGCTAGAAATAACAGGGAACTTGTGGAAAGTTCAACAGATTTCACAAGGCCCTGTGAGTTACAGTGAGAAAGCATGAAACTGTACAGAACTACAGGACTGCAGCCATGGAAATGCTGTGTTGTGGTCTCTAGATAAGCAATACGCTTATCTAGCTTCATAGCTGGCTTCATAGCTCCTTGTTTCTGGAACCATAACAAACTCAAGTCATTTTCAAATGTTGAATGTTTTTGTCCACATCTTCATCAAGAACCCGGAAGAACCCTTATTCAAGTGTACAATCTGACAGAGGCACACATACACGACTGTGCACCCTGTGGATACGGTGAGAGGAAGTGGCTGGGAGATCTGACTCATTAGGGGCGGCCACGGCAGTGTTTAATCCTGTTTAATTACAGCGATGCCCCAGGCAGAGGGACGGAGAGAAACGCGACCCTCCTAGTGTTCAGACACCTGCGGAAGCATCAAGAGAATTCTAAAGTGGCCGAGGATGAAAGGCACTTAGCCACCTGAACCCAGGGTGCGTAACGAGGGAGCGCATCGTGGCATTTCTGCATTCAGAGAACAGCCAAATACACAAACCCACACCCATGCAGCGGAAATACTCCTATATCCTAGCCAGCGTTCTAGTGAACAGCTAGAATTCACCAGTGGCTTCTGGAATCAGACATAAGCCCCATTTCTGAGAACATGGCGTACAAATTATGAGCCACTTCTGCTTCTTGCAGATGACCAATGCGGTTTGATACAGATGTGACTGCCGCAAAGAAATGATTAATTGGATGAGATTCATGAGCGAGATGTTTAATCACCTTTTGCAGGCTGTCTTATTATCAGCTGTATTAGTTTGTGCCACTCCCTGGCCTTTTATTAGATATTAGTTATACTTGCAAAAAGATTGTTATTATATTGTGTTTGTTTCAACTGTTTTAACTTAATGTGTACTCATTTTTCTAGCATGTAGGAGATAAAAGAAAAGTTAACACAGAATATGAAATGTCCATATGAACAAAGGAACATCTGGCTGACTGACACATATTAGAAATATACTGACAGAGATTAAGAGGAATAGCAAGATAGAGAGAAAGACAGACAGACAGATAGATAGATAGATAGGGAGACAGACAGCAAACAGACAGAGGAGTAGATAGACAAACAGATAGAAAAAGAATCAGAGAGCCAATTAATTAATTAATTAATTAATTAATTAAAAATTAAAGAGAGAGAGAAAATCAGGGAGGGAGATCAGAGAGAGAGAGAGAGACGTTTGACTTTTAAGCACCTTTATTTAACATACTATAACAAAACAAAACACAAAAAGCTTTTTTTCAAAATTAAGCCATCACCAAAACAAGAGTCATCTAAACACACCACAGACTGACAGACACAGAGAGAGAGAGAGAGTGAGGGAGAGAGAGTGAGAGACCCCCATGTATCTGTAATGTGTTTTACTGCCTCCTTCCTCTCATGCATTTCTCTCTCTCTCTCTCTCTCTCTCTCTCTCTCTCTCTCTCTCTCTCTCTCTCTCCATACACACACACCCACACACCCACAAACTAGCGCGCGCGCCAGTGACCCTAAGCCTGAATCATGAGGGACATGTGCGCGCGCGACACACCGACATCCAACTCTTAACCAAACCAGACCGAGCCGACAAAAAAAAAACGCAGCAGCTGTTCCCTCGCGCACAGTGGCGCCTGTTTTCGGGCGTTTCCTCAAAACCCAGCGGCACAACCGAGCGAGAAGGAGAGAGAGGGAGAGAGAGGGAGAGAGAAGAGAGAGCCTGGCCGTCAGCATGGCCGCGTCTCAGAGCGGCTCCAACATCACGCGCAACCTCACCAACCAATTCGTGCAGCCTCCGTGGCGCGTGGCGCTCTGGTCCGTCGCCTACAGCTCGATCCTGGCCGTAGCCGTGTTCGGCAACCTGGTGGTCATGTGGATCATCCTGGCGCACAGGAGGATGCGGACGGTCACCAACTACTTCTTGCTGAACCTGGCCTTCTCGGACGCGTCCATGGCCGCCTTCAACACGCTGGTCAACTTCGTGTACGCCGCGCACGGAGAGTGGTACTTCGGAGAGGCGTACTGCAAGTTCCACAACTTCTTCCCCGTCACGGCTGTGTTCGCCAGCATCTACTCCATGACCGCCATAGCGGTGGACAGGTGAGGGGCTCCTGCTGCTGATCTGGTGGGAATAAAGGGGACTTCCACCGAGATTTTAAAATTTAAAAAGATAAACACAGAGTCAGAGCGGTTTGTTATGGCATGATCCAGTCCAGAGTCAGAAGCATTCAGTAGTGGTGATGGGAACCAGCCGTCTGAAGAGTTTAATGCCTTTAAAAAGCTCCCTCGCGGAAGATTATGACATGAAACGGTTATGAACGCTCTGCCTGATGCTTGTGACATAGTTTTAGGACATGTTTGAGAAGGTTTTGGCCTAAAACATACACGTTTTTAAATACATTCATGGCGGAGGGTTATGTGCTGGGCGATGTAAGACAAAATAGTCCACAAAGAAAATTTTTTTTTAAGTTCTTTTAAAGACTTATTTTTCTATTTAGCACTTTCAACATTACATACACAATACATTCATAAAAGATGGTTCTTCAAGGGTTCTTTAGTAAAAAAAATGGTTCTAGGTAGAACTATGAACACTCAAAGTACCCTGTGTATGATTGAAGGGATCTTTGCACCGTGAAAAGGTTCTTCAGATTGATGGAGATTGAACCTATATAGAACCATCTACAGCACATTCTCCATCAATCTGAAGAACTCTTTCACGGTGCAAAGATCCCTTCAATCATACAAAGGGTTCTTTGAGTGTTCATGGTTCTGCATAGAACCATATTGTAACTAAGGAACGCTTGAAGAACCATTTTTTAAGAGTGTAGGTTTACTGGTGGTTTTGGATAGTAAATAAAATGGCTATATTTGTGTGCCATTTTGTAGACATGGTGACCCCTGGTTTTCATCACCACCACTGTAAAGAAATTCCAGTTGATAACGTGCATTTTGTCCTATTTCTGAATATTTAGGGGCTCTAAGCTACATCTTACTTGGTGGGCGCCACCCACCAGAATCATATTATATATGCAGGACTGAAAACTGTATTTTAAAAGCTTTAAGTCTGCAATTTTGACTTTTAAATCTGTTTTTTCAAAGTTTCAAGAAATGTACAGAATGGTTTTACTTCCAGCAAAACAAGACTTCAAAACAAAAACACTTTTTATTGAACTTTTCATTTAATGCCAGTTTCAATTAAATAAAATAGTAAGAGAGTTTTATGGTGTAGAAGGTTAAATCCCAAATGCCTGTTTAAAGTATATACCATTCTGTGCCCACCACAGTGGACTATATAGGCAGCGGGCAACCGTTTGGGACTCAGCCCAAAGATTTACCAACACTCCATTCAGTCAAATGCAAAAAAAGTTTCTTATGGGCAGAGAGGATATTTAGTGGGTATTAACTAGTTCCAAATCAAATTAAATCACCTTTATTGTCACATCACATTGACACAGAGTATTGCACCATTCCAATGTACAGTTTTTGTACAGTAATATAAGTTATGAAATAAAAGCTATGATATGTACAGTTGTACACATTTCCATATATACAAATTTGTGATTCTAAGGGAGACAAATGAGATGCAGGGTCCCCAGATTATACAAGATATGGTAGAAGATGTACAAGATGTCAATCTATATGTGCAGGTATAGGTTGGCTAGAAGTTACAGCAAGATCCAAGTGAGTCTGTTTGAGGTGTGAATGCAGTGTGGATTGTCCATGGAGATCGTCACTATGATGATCCATGTGCTTAAGCCTCCTGTTACCCTTAAATGTACTAACGTCTTTATTCTTGGGGTTAATTTTTTTTAAATTGTTGATATTTATGTTTTATACAGCTAACACAGCCTGGAGTCAAACGGACCTGTTAGAACAACGATGCGTTAAAATGTGAACAAGATATTAAAAACATATTATCCTGTTCATTTTATATTTAAGTCATTAAATAAGAAGCACAAAAAAATCTATTATTTATTTAGAGGCGTTAAACATTGAATGGGGTCAAATTGGCCCCAAAGATAATAGGAGGGTAAATTTAGAACTTGGATGGATTTGTACTACTTGAGTGTTCTCAGATGATAATAGATGATAATGGATTTACTTCCAAGCACATTTAAGAGGAAATGTGTTCATTATTTCAATGATTTTGTTTTAGTACATTCAGTTCCTGATTCTTTTTTTGTGTTTCATTTCATAAGAGCACCTAGACTGCTCTGCTGTTGCTCACTAACAAGCTTTGGCATTTCATTTTACACCAGATGGATCCCACAAGAGGAAAATAGGCTCTAATAAAACTTCCTATACTGATAGATGCTGTATAGACTTAGAAGGTTACCTGAAGTTCTGTAGGGACTGTAGGGTTCCGAGGAGTCTCTTACATCTACCTAGGTTGACTTAGTAGCTCCTTTTACTTTTACTCAAGTCACTATGTCACCGAACTTACATTGGGCCTCATTCACCAACCGTACTGAAAAATATGTTTCTTCTTAAAACCCACTTATGCAGTTTTCATGAAGATTCTGACATTCACCAGTGTTTTCTTATTTGGGATTTGTTCTTAGGTAAGAACAGAATCTACACACACTCAAGAGCACAAAGGTGTGAACAATTCTGCGGCTTAAGAACACATCATGAATCTGACAAACTTTTCTTAGGACTTTTCTCAAGGACAAATATAAGAAAAAACTTAGGAAGATACTGTTGAATGAGGTCCAATACTTTTACCTGAGGAAAAGTGTCTCCTACCTGCTTACACATCTACAAACTGAAACCACTGAGTAGGATGTTGAAGACCTACAGTACGTCCAGTCAAAACAGGCATTAAGTACTATTAGGAACTATTAATATTAGTTTTACAGTATTTATTTAATGGTATACGTCCCTTCCATCCTTCTAGTTTCTCAAAGAAGTCTGATAGGAGATTTTTCCACACCTCCAAAGTTCAGTCTTAGAAGTTGGTTGCATTTTCTGCTTCTCACCATCCAAATAATCCCAAACACATTCAGTGATATTGGGGTCTGGACTCTGGGGTGGTCAGTCCATTGTTCTGAGAACACCAGCAGTTTCTTTGTATGATGTGCCTGTTTCCTTTTCTCAGTAAGAGCTTCTTGACAGCTACACATACTTTCAGACCCATAGTGTTGAGTTTAGGTGCTGTATATCTGACAGTGACCGTTTTTCCCTTCCTTATGCAAGTGGATCATCTTCAATCTCAGAAATATCTCCTGAAAAATGAAGAGCTTGTACTTAACGACCATTTGACTGGAAACTGTATAAATGATAGCCCCTGATGTTTGCAACGGACTGTATTTTTTACCGCTCTAGCGCCTTTAAAGAAGTTTTTAACTCATACTTTGCATTCTGACAGGGTCTTTTTACTGTGTGACAGGCAAAATAGTGGACAGTACCTGAAATAACCACAATAACTGCCTGAATAAAGCATGCCAATTCAGGCTGTCAGGAACCTTTCATTTGGTCTCTTCAACTGCACATCTCTCCCTCTCTTATTCTGTCATGCAGTCAAAAAAAATATAAAAAGCTTCTTCAGAGCGATGCCATAGATGAACTACTTTAGCTTCCCTAAAGAACCTTTAAGTGGATGATTTTTTGAAGAAACATTTTTTGTAAATGGGAAGTGCGAGAGTATAAGGAACCTCTGAGTAATGTAAAGGTTCTGTACCAATTCAAAGCGTGTCCTAGAAACGTACGTTGAAGCCAAGAACTGTTTAAGAACCTTCATTTGTGGTGAAATGGTGATTGTAGAGAAACTTTCCCACTCAGATTTGTATGCAGTGGTGGTGATAGGACCCAGGATGTCTACAACACAATAGGAGTGGGAATGGATTCCAATTTGATTCACCAGATTCAGTACTTCATGACTCCACATGGTGGCGCTAAGACGCTAATCAAATGAATAGTCTAAACCTTTTACGTCCGAGAGGGCTACCAGTATTACTAAGTCTATTGCTGGCTTTATTTGCAAGGACCAAATTGAAGTCCAAAATTAAGGTTAGTGTATGTGTGTTAAAGAGGCATGAAGCTAAGCTAAGCACTTTGTTGTACATTGTTTCATGTTGGTTGTCAAATTCTGTGAAAGTGACACTAATAAATACATGCTTCCTGCTATTTGCCTATTTAGGAGTAACAGTTACACAGATCGTGATGTATCGTAGAGGATTGTCTTGCAATATATTATTGAGATTGCAATATCATTATTGTGGGCAGTGTATCGTGATATGTCGTAAGATGCCCAACCCTACAACACAAATATAGCTATTTTATTTACTATCCAAAACTAACAGTGAACCCACATGTGTCTTTAGAGACATTACATTCATATGTAATGTTGATGATGGTAAAACAGTGGTAAACTTGACAGTTTTCTTTGGGGACTATTTTGCCACAAGACACTGCATGTATCCCTCCGCCATGAAGGAACTGTAGAAGTACACTGTAGCCCAAAAGCTTGAATCAAAACTATCATAACACAACCGATCATAACTGATATCGGGCAGTCTACTTGTAACAACTTTCAATGAGGAAGCTTTTGCGTTAAGTCTTCTGGTTCCTATCACCACCACTGTGAACTATTTAGAATGCACCATTTCACATAAAGCCACTCTGAATGACTTTGTTCACATCTTATCGACTGCCTGGGAAACTTCAGAATCCCCCTTCAACTTAGCACCTATGATGTAGCTTTAAAAATCTTGAAAGGTGTAAATAGATGATGAAAGGGTTTCCTATGATGTTTTCTTGTGATATGATGTTTCCTCAACAAGGAGAAGCCCATAGACTCAGACTTAGAACATATAATATTCCTTTTCGTCTGACTTTGAAGTCTAAGAAAGGGAACCAGCTCACTCCCTCAAAACTTTACTATCTGAGGGATCAAACTAACTCATAAAGCAGATAAACATGACATTCTCCCTTATTACACCACCAACTCCTTCCACAATATCGCACAGCCACCAAATCACTAATCGCTAATTTCTCTGTGACAGGTACATGGCAATCATCCACCCCCTGAAGCCCAGGCTGTCGGCCACGGCCACCAAAGTGGTGATCGTGTGTATCTGGTGTTTTGCGGTGGTTCTGGCATTCCCCCTCTGCTTCTACTCCACCACCAGGACACTGCCTCGCAGAACCATCTGCTACGTGGCCTGGCCAAGACCGGCGGAGGATTCGTTTATGTGAGAGACTAATTACGTTTTCCTTCATTTACTTTGTTAACGATGCATGTTCAGCTACGATATCAGATTCTGAATGAGGGCGCACTTCTACATTTTGCCTCTATTTCCCCCATAGCCCCTCCAGAAGTCCACTTATTAGGGCTCCAATGAATTTTCAATAATATTTGACAAATTTGCTAATTAATATAGTAAAAAGAGTAAAGCCATTTGGATACCTGACACCTCTGCCACTTTTCTGAACACACTCACTTCTTTGGGGAAGCATATGTTTGTTTATCAAGCCAAATGTTAGCTTGTCATGAGCAGCATGCAGCTGCCAGCTCCTGTTTTAGTCAGTATAATAATAATATTGTAATTTTTCTATTTTGGCAAGTGATCTGCATTAAAATAAGAAGAAATACTAGTTTTATTATAATGTCATTCTTGATGCTATAGAGCTTTTCTAAATCATTTTACTGCTCCCTTCATCATTCTGGATGCGTCTAACGTTTTTTCATTTTGTGTTTACGGTTTTATAGTGGAATTACTGGAAAGTAGGGGTGGGCAATATGGCAAAAATATCACGATACTTGAAAATATTTTCACAATACATGATAAATATCACAATATTTTGACAGATACAATGCACCAGTAAAACCATTAAAACCCCTGCGTACAATGATTTTATTCAACATTTCACATGCTATTCTGCACTAAATCTAGTTAAACAGGCCTAATTATGCTTTCTTTTTATTTAAAAACGCAGTGGACCAGTACTGACGACATCCACAATATATTCAGAAAAGCATATTCTGTATAATCATAATAAAATGTATCATAATGATACATATATCAAAATATCTCATATTGTTCACCCATAGATAGAACCTGTGAAGCTGTTCAGGGCTAAAATATTACAATGATTTTATACACGTGTCCATAACTAAATTGGTTTAATATTATAAAAAACACTGATTCCAAACTTTGAAACACTTGTGAATTCATGAGCTGTAAAGTGCAGGAGGAAATTTATTCAGACGGCATTGAGTAATTAAGTACAATATTTCTGAGTTTAAGTGCATGATCTGGTAGATCATGCATGTTTTTTTAAGATAATAGTTTACCATTCATCACTGATATTGACAATAACTGTTTTTTACTAGCAGGTGATATTTCAATTATTTAAAGATTGACAGCAAAATTAAAAAAAGTAAACAAATTGACAGCAAAATTAAAAAAAGTAAACAAAATAAACATGGAAACTATTAATATATAATAATTACACTAATAATAAGTAATTGTGATGTCTGTAACAATAACAGAGTAATACTATTTGGAATAATAATATAAATAAAAATAAATCTGTTTCTTTTATGTTCAGTCGTTTAAACTCTAAAACGTTTTGAGCTTTTATTCTTTTCCTTATTCTTTTAGAATATTCAAGTATTTATGATAACATTGGCTAGAATATTGGAAAATAAAAACATTCAATATTTGCATCCTAACGTTTAAAGATTTTTGTGTCGATTTATGTGCCAAAAACAGCTGTAATTCTTTTTTTGCATGACCAAAATCCTAACCTCTTTAAACCTCTTTATACACGCTGTTTTTGTTACTTGGCCTATAAGTCTGATATATGCAAATGACTTCTTCTCTGATTGGCTGGACCCTTGGTCAGTACCATGTATTGTGCCTTGCTCAAACAGCACCTTTTATCACTTCAACATCAATGAGCAGGCTGTTTTTGCAGCTTACTTTTCATATAGGCTGTAAACTTTTAACACACTACATCAAAGTAGAGGTCAGTTTTTCTGGGCCCTTTAGAAAATCGGTAACCTCCGATCACAATCTATGGAGCATCCATATACTAGTGTGAATCACAATATAATACATAAAAGCTCATGGACATAATGGATAAAGGCTGTGCATCTCTAAAGGTTGGAGACACAGAGGTCTTGCTCCAAGACCATCATGCTTTGATCTCACCTCTCATTATCTTTTCTGTCCACCAGCTGCTAACTTTGATCCTGTCTTCTGCTTTCTGTGTGATACAGAGACACTTTCTGTCATGGACTCATCTGTGGCCATCTGTTGCATCATTTTTTCTTTCCCTTCAGTTCCTGGGCTGGCTGCTTCTTTGGGAAACTTGACTTTGTTCATGATTGCACAGGTACCATATCATAGTGACGGTGCTGGTGTACTTGCTGCCCTTAGTGGTGATGGGGATCACCTACACCATAGTTGGGGTGACACTGTGGGGAAGCGAAATCCCTGGAGACTCATCAGACAACTACCACGGCCAGCTACGTGCCAAGAGGAAGGTAGGCACTTCCACTGTACTTAAATAACTCCAGTGTTCAGACTGTGCCTAATGGATCGGGCTGGACCGGGTAGATAAATGGACAGATAGAACCTAAGTGTCCCAAAGCAACTCTAAAGAATTGCGTCAGTGGCTTTTAGGATTCTTTCAGTTCTTCACATGTCATTCCTTCTTCAGTTGACTCTTTTTTTGTGTGTCGCTTAGACAGAATAAGACGACTTCTAAGGAGCGAATTGGTAAAGCTGTAAGTTTTTTTTTATTAAAACTGAAAGTGTTCCAGAGTCAGGAGACAAAAAACACACTAAAATGTGGTGTGCTGCTGCAAGTCGCCCTGTAAAGTCTGAAATAATCATTTAAAAGTCAGAAGCACCATGTCATATGTCTTTATGTATTAACATCACATGCACAGATTCAAAAGAAAGGTCCAGGTCAATGTAGGTCTCAAATGCAAAATCAACATGATACTGATGAAGATATAATAACAACAGTAGATCATCCACTCACATCCTCAGAAGACATTTCCATCACCAAGTTTTGACTGATTTCTCTTTGAACACTCTTTAAACACGTTCATAATCATCAGATTCAGCACAACCAACATTACAAAATGTTCTTCTGCACCTTGTATGCAATTGCAAATCCCATATCTTAGCAAATCTGAGTTAAAGGCAGGTTTAAGGAGCTGTACTTACTTTTTAATCCTTTTCAGATAGCACTGTGATTCAGTTCTCTAGAGAGAACATTTAATGTCATTAATGTCAAACTACACATTTAATGTCACTATATTAGAAACTATTTTGGGTTATTGTCTCTAAATATAATCAGAAATTATCTGGTGAGCTTACAGCAATTTTGGGGGCCCAGTGTATGTTGCTGTGACGCAATGTGCGATTGTATGCCTCTCATTTAAATACACCTTTTAAGAAGCCCCTATCCTACATTTTTCTTGTACATCTTCCTCTGTAAATAACAAACTTAAATGCAGCATTTTTCTGCAAATTGTAGTGCAAAATTTCAATTTATACTAAAACATACAATGTAAAATGTGCCATAACTTTTGCACAGACCACATTTTATGTTTTATTTTTCCCAATTTGCTAAATTCAGAAAATAATTGTGTAATAAAATGTATAGAAGTGTGTTCTCTGTAGAAGACTATCTATTTTCACTTAGAAAGTCAACAAAACATGGAACAGGCTGCCTAAACCTTTGCACATGACTGTATGATAGAGAACATGCAACCATTATTGCTCTCAGTGGATTCCAAGGATGAGATTTCAAACTGATGGAAATCACAGGGTTGTCATGTTTATGTGAACTGTTCACGTGACTGAAAATAATGTTAAGTAATTAAATTATTGAAAGTAGTAAATACACTCATATGAAACGTATTTTATCCACTCATATAGCAAAAACAAAATGCACTGTTTTTAATCGAAAAATGTTTGCTGAGCAAATAACACAAATGCTATGAACCCCTTAAAAAGCCAGTTTTATTATAAGTGTTATTACACACTTCTATAACCTAAGAATAGCTCAGCCAGTTGCATTGGAGTCTTTGTAGTTACTGAATAATACGCCTTATTGTAATAAGCCTGGGATTTTAAGGAATTAATCATGACTAACCACACAAATTATTTTAACTGTTTAACAGTAGTAGATTGTAGACATCTAAGGTGAAATCTGATAACATTAATCCAAAGTGAGGAGCAGTTTAAAAGGGAGGGGTGATTTTCTAATCATAGCTGAGAGAGTGAACATATGAATGAGACAGTATGAATGAAAAAAAAACAATGACTTTATTGAGCATGTGAACAAATCACTCTGCATTGTGGGAAACTCACTTCAGTGTTATTGCTAGAGTTTTCCCACAGATTAAGGTCATAACTTTGAGTACATCCCTCATGCCAGCTGTGAGCTTAAAAGCATAGCTTCAACTCTTCCATATCAAATATTATTCCAGGACACAACAGATCATTTAGCATCTCCTGTCGTATCCTTCCATAATCCAGCGCTATTGTTTTAGATTCAGAGATTATGGTGGGATTGCGTCGGATTAGAGAATTTGTTAAGTCACCTTTTTACAACCCATACCTTCTGACGCGGCCCTGAAGCTGATTGGTTGGGCAGTGTTGTGGAGGTCTGAAGGTTTGTTGACAGCCGTGTGGGCCAGTGACGAACAAGAGGGGGCTGATTTGTTGGACAGTGATTTGACATCATATGAAATCCTAAATGATCTGTCAACAGAGAATGTTTGAGCTTTGCATGGCCGTAAAATCACACAGGTCCTGTGTTATGCAGGTGCAGAAGCTATATTGTGTCTTAGAAGTAGAACTGAAATTCAGTTTAGTGGCTAATTGAAATATGACTGTACCAGATGTATAACAGATGTAATGGTAACAGAATTATCAACATATTCTTAATGCAACAGATCCTGTATCGCTTGTGTACCACTGTGTCTGATCCTGTCTTCTGCTTTCTGTGTGAAAAACCAGCATTTTTCTAATATTTTTTGCAGTCATAATTCATTTTAATAAAAAAGGTGAACTATAATCATAGAACTGCTTTCAGAAAAGTGCTCATGGCCAAAAACCACTAAGAGATCCAGACTGACCAGTTTAGTTTAACAGATGAGTGATCTGCCATGTTTCAGACAGGATGGAAACCATGGCCTGAATTTGAGTTTCACATCCAAGAAAGCCATTTTCACAGCAGCTGGAATCCTGGCAGAAATCCGGAATCTGATAAGAAAATGTGGTCTTGTCAAACATGCTGATGTAATCAGTGCAGCTATGTATATACAGGCATGAACAGGCATTTGCAATTGTTGTTCTGAGCTCACAGCTAGCCTGGCAGTGACAAATGCTCTCGGCTGAAACAGATGCATTCACACTATACATTCTAGCATGCTCAGTTTACTTGAAAAATCTGGGAAACCGACTGGCTCAACCCTACCCAAATTACTCTCAATGGTGATCCCATAATTGGCGTTCAGCCCCTGTAACTCTTAATATTTAACCTTTTTTAACATTTTTGAACACTGAATCCAAGAAAATTTTACCCTTTAAAAAGTGTGTTGATTATATAGATAATGTAGTTAATAATGGTTTTAGCAGAGAATAAGCAAATTCAGAAAACATGGTTAACTAGCATCTATGCTAATAGCATGAGAATATTCTAATGATTTACTTTTTTTTTTTTAACTAATTATTTACTTTAATGTATAATTTACATAACAGGGATGAACCTTCAAAGATACCCTGTCAGTCAATATCATAGTATCCCAGAAAATAAAGTAAAAAAAATGACATTTTTTTCTTCTCCTTCTCCTGATCTTCAGGAAATTTGGATGATGTTAATTTCTGCTAAACATGTGACTTGTGGAATATTTCAGAAGGCTGAGTGAATGCGGAACTAAAACGTGCATCGTCATAACCTATGATGGATGGAAAATAAAATGTTAAATGGATTCACACATCAATATTTAAAAGATCATTGGTTTTTGATCTACTTTTGATATGATTTCTATAGTTCTCTTGGGCTGGGGTAGGCAAAAACTAGTTTCTAGGTGCTGTAGATGTCAAGGACCCATCAACTAAAATGTTTTTTAGCTTTACTTTACATCACCCACAGGACAAATTAATATTATTCATCAACAAATAGACAACCGACAGCGGTTTTGACATAAAGTACAAGATAGATTTGCAGCAGGTTCACTGGATGAGTTTAAGTCAGTTTAGTCTTGGGCCTTCAGAAAAAGTAAGGCATATATCTTCAAGCTAAAGTAAACATTCAAACATACTTCCACAACTTCAGAGCAGAATAGTGAGCAGGACACTGATATCAGTAGGGGTGGGCAATATGGCAAAAATGTAACATCCCAATACTTTAAGGCAATTATTCAATACACATTATGCATTTTGATATAATTTTTTCTAAGGTTTGGTAAGCTAGAATAGGCAAAATACGATAAAGTGGTGCCACATTTTAAAAAATACTATCAAAACTATAATTAGAGTGTTTTTTATTCAACTTTACACACTGTTTCTGAAGTGCTGGCAATATCCATTATATGTTCAGAAAAGGCTGTTGTGATTTATCATGATAACGATACATATTGCCCACCCTTAGATATGAGTGGTGAATACTGTAATGCTGACTTTAGACTGACTTGCTACTCAGATGACTTGCCATGCTCTTTGAAAAGCATTATTAACAACAGTAGGATGACCAAAACAGGGCCTCTGGTAGAACTTTCACCCTAATGATAGGTACTTTTGCTGTACTTCTTAGGTACATTTGCAAGCGCTGTGCTAGTCATGCAGCCCTGACGCTGCAAAACCTCAACCTCAAATAATCATTCTAGTAATCAACATTCTGTGCATTAAACTATAACCTTAAGGCCGTGAGAGACGTCTGTGTTGCCGCTTTGATTTGCTTGCTTTGTGTGGGGGAGAGTACCGTGTAGTAGCACAACTGCACAACTTGTTAACTTGTTAAGGACCATGATCCAGCACTACCTACATTTTTGTTAATATCAACTAAAAGGAATAAATAAATACTGTGTACATTTACAGAGCACATGCATTTCTAACTGAACTGGTAAAAGTATGTTTACTTTCGGTTTTGCTACTATATTAAAATGTAGTTACATAATTGTATAGTTAGTTATAAAACGAAATTCATTTGCATTTAATTTATTTACATTTGATTTTGCACTTGCAGTGTTTTTTTCCATTTGTTTTCAATTTAAGAAATGGCATAAATGTGGAAAGGCTGTTTATTTATACCACAAAACAAGAATGTATGCACAAGAGAAACTTTCCATCAAATTAACATCATAATAAATTATCTTCCGTTCTACTTATAAACACAAACGTTGTATTGAATTAAAGTTTAGAACCTGTGTATGACTAGAATCCTGACAGATTCTGCTGCATCCATGTCCTTCACATTCACACAAAAGAGCTTGATGTGCAGATAATACAACTTACTTCTCATCAGCCACGTTTACATGCAGCCTAATAATCCATTAACAATCCGACTAATAGCTAAATTGGAATAGAATACGTCCATGTATACACCTCAGTCGGAATAGACTAGTCTGAATGAGGCCATTCGGAATACAGTTTCTATCCGATTGAACGAGGTGAGTAATCCTGTAGATAAACCGTTGAATAGAAGAATAATAGCCATGTAAACACCTGTATCTGATTATATAGTATAATAGTATCAATCGATCAATCTAATAGTATCAAGAACGTCAGTATATTTGGTGTGAACTGACAACTCGGTTGAAAATTTTATGGAAAATGTACCAATGACACCTCAATATCTGTATCACAAATGATGATAAATTGTAGGCCATTTCAGTTAGCAACCAACAACAAATATATTTTTTCAGGAAGTGATGTCATTGGTCCATTCTTGCTTCACTTACTGACCACTCAAACACAAACAACTGAAAGATATGCCAGTTTTCTGAACTGACTTGACCTGATACGGCCGTCCAAAGGCACCATTAATCAAACATAGTATCCAGCATTTTAGCCATTAGCTACAATCAGAATGCTTTCCAACACAGTGTCTCTTAATGCAATTCCATGATCACATTCAAACCAGAGTCTTGCCTGATTTCATCCTATACCAGCTGCCAGCACACATGAGTAAGGTAATCAATAGCCATTGAGCAGCTGATTACCTGGCTCAGGTGTGCATATGTGGTCTGGCCAGGCCTCCTCAAAGGCTGGCCTGGAACCCCCTGTTGAAACACATCCGACTCGCCTAGCACAGTTCTTTCCTGTTTTGCCTGTATGTGCCTGGCAGGACATGTCTGCCTCGCCTCCTAGCTCAACTAGCGCATACCCACTGACCTAGAACCAGCATCCCCAGTCCATAGCCTAGCCTTGAGCCCTGTCAGAGCATCCAAACTGGTTTCAGAGCAGTAGGAAGGGCTGACATCCTCTACCGCCCCAACCGCCTCTGCTTCTTCACACCTGCTGTGAAGGCTGCGTCATTTCTAACCTTTCTGGGCTTTGTGTAGCTGTCAATCCCAAAGCTAAAGGGAGACTCTGCTGACCCTTCTTTCTCATTAAATTACAGAAGGCTCTCTTTAGCGCTCGGGCTCATGGCACCTCATTAAAAGGCATGTTCTAAATTAATGGGGTCCTCATTTGATGACAGACAAGATCCCATTGTCTTTGTTAGCCGCAGCTCCTTTGTCTTATTGTGAAGAAGTTAATAGGTCCGTTTAAAAAGTTTCAAATGGCCTTTAAAGGGGCTGTCAAGAACTATGGGAGAGCAGAGTTAGGTTAGATTGGATCAATGTGAATTTTTAAGTGGACATTTTTGGCAAAATTGAAGACCATTAGGTAAAAAAGTGGGAACTTATTACAGAATGGAAAGGTAATTTCGCTAACAATGAAAAGTAAAATGTAGGTCAAGAAGAAGACAAATTTTAAGCACATTCCAGACATTGACCACACGTAATTCATCAGTGTAGATGTCAGAAAACCTCTGTAGGTGTGGACAGGGATGCAAAAAGGTGCTTTAATGTTGCTGAAATTTTGAGCAACTTTTATGTGACAGACACAGTGACGTTATGCAAAATGCCATTTTTTCACTGGCCTTATTTGCATAATTAACATCAAACACTGAGGCGAAAGACAACTTTCTCTTATACTGGTTCTGTATGCAAATAAGATGAATGTCAGGAAATGAGATTGTTGATATGTGGCATGGTAACTAATGTGTAGCCTGTAGTCAAGCTACAAGCTGATACTTAGCACTCAAATGCACACCCATCAAGAATGAAAAACTAATGTATTCAGAACATTGGACATGTGTATTAGTTGATTTTTTTAAATTTTAAAATGAATATTAGGCCAATCTGGATCCCATAACCAGCTCAGATTTCTGCAGAAACCACCCCCCCCAGGTATCTAAACTTGTATTTGTTTCAACAAGCAGCTGGTAAAAGAGATTTGGCTCACCATAATGAAAAAGCAGCTTTAACTTAAACACTGCATCACTAAATCAGGTTTTCAAAATGTATAAATAAGGCAAAAAATAAAAATACAAACTTACAAATACAAACACCCACGTCTTTGCTTGGTTTGAATTATTCTAAAGTTCTGTTTTTTTAACCGTTATTTTTAGTCAAACAATCCTGAAAACTGGGAGTGCTGCAGCCTCCCTGCCGCCCCTCCCATGGACAGCTGGTCCCTGGATGTGAATATATTTTACGTTATCTAAATGACAATGACTTGGTTCTTGTGTCAGTCCACTGGCCAGGAATTCCATTTTCATTCCCTCAAACGGATTTGAACACAATCTCAGCTTTCATGATTTATGTGGAAAATACTCAGTTATCTTTTTTCCAGCCATTGTAATTTCTGGATTTGCTGCTTGCCTGCTTGTTTTTGTCAGGAAAAAAAAACAGCATTGGCTTCAGAGTGTGATTGCATTTGGGATGGAATCAACGAGATGGGGTGCCTGGTGACCAATCAGAAAATGTCTCTGCTTGAGTTTGATGCCAATCTAGTGTCATCCTGCGTCACCCCCACCCCCCCTCGTGTTAAGAATGACAGCAGGTAGCTGTGAGTGGTGGGAAGAATCAAAACTCTGGCACTGAAACGTAGCTCAAGTAGAAGTAATACTGTGCATTTTTAACATAACATTTAATCTTCATTCTGTTTTATTTGGACAGGACTGATTCTATTAGTGTCCTGAAAACAGGCTTTTCAGATTTGGGCCTTAAGTTTACTGAAGGTGCGCGTGTGATTTGATTTTGCTAAAACCATACTGACTTCACGTCTCTCTCCTCAGGTGGTAAAGATGATGATTGTGGTAGTGGTGACCTTTGCTCTCTGCTGGCTGCCTTATCACGTGTACTTCATTGTGACTGGCCTGAATAAGCGATTAAACAGGCTGAAATCCATCCAGCAAGTTTATCTAGCAGTGCTCTGGTTGGCCATGAGCTCCACCATGTACAACCCCATCATCTACTGCTGTCTCAATGGCAGGTAAATCACAGACAGAACAAACACACAAACACTCTCTTCTTCTTACGTGCACACACAAACATAACAGTGATTCGCAAGATATTTTTATAACAGACACAACTTTGTCCTTGTTTGATGGGCAAACAGCCTTTTATCATTAGTTATTATTAAAGTCTTAGTTTTACCTAGCATCATCTTTTCAACGTTTGTGGTTGAGATGGCACAACACCACCCTGTTCTTTCCTAATACTGACACCATTATTGAGTATCAGCCAATACAATCTGATATTTTTTTTCTTTAAAACTATTACGGCTTAAAATGAACTATTTTCTAATTGAAGCACGTCATTTAAGATGAGCATCTAAGATGCTCAAACTACTCAGACATTCCCCTGACCCCATAGGAAGAAATACACAGCTAACAACGCACAGTGTGAGTGCTATTTCAGGATGGAATTATTACTGGACTGGATCGGATTTATTCTTTTTTTCCCTTCTGATATCCGATTCAGCATTTTCTGCTGATATCGACCTGATATTGGTACCCATTGATACTGATATGTTATCTGTATGTGCAGTATGTGCAGACTTTTCTTGTCTTAACAGCACTTCACCTATGATGCTGAATCAAAATTACACAGTAAGCTATGTGCAGTGACTAGATAACCCATGCATGTGCAAATTACATACATGACAAAAAATCTAGAGGAAAACTAACTATAGAGGAAATTTACGACTTACCGTAAACTTAATATTGCTCTGTTTGAGACTTATAAGAAAAAATGTATTATATTTAAGTCAGTAGCTGAAATGTGAATACAAGGACTTATACTGTAAAAAAGTAATTACATTATTGTAATGTGTCACTTTGTACCATATTATCCCCAACACTGTCTATTTGTAGTGGTCTGCAAATAGGTTTATTTGCTGGGCGTTGTCAAACACAGGCCTAATTGTTGCTTTTATCTGACACAAGATAAAAAAGATAAGAGCAAAATAAAACTTCTCCATTGTGGCTGAATGGTGAATCTGTTTAGCACGATCACTGTTGGTTAAGGATGTTACAACTACCCAGGCTAACATAGTGACTGTTTTCTAGTTCTAAAGATTCAGCCTTAAGGCTCTAGTAGGTGCACAGGCATGTTACAGTAAGACATCAAAAAACACAACTTAAAGTGTTGGGCCAGGTTTAGGGTTAGTGAAAAGTAAGATGAATGTAATAGATATTTAATGAATACAAGTTAAAGGTTATTTGCTAAGCATCTAAAGTATTTGTTTATGTGTATAAAAAAGTCTTCCAGTAACTACTAAGACATTCATTTTTGACCAGATTTGGTAGGCATACCGAGCATATGTAGGAGGCCCTAAAATGCTAGTGTGCACCTACTTATAGACTACTGAACAAACTGTTGCCATCTTCCAGGTTTAGAGCAGGCTTCAAAAGAGCCTTCCGGTGGTGTCCTTTCATCCACGTATCGAGCTATGACGAGCTGGAGCTGCGCACCACCCGCCTCAACCCCCGCAACCAGAGCAGCATGTGCACTCTGTCCCGCGTCGACACCAGCGTCCATGGCGACGACCCCCGCCAGGGCAACCGGAAAAGCACTAAGTCCCAAAACAAATGTGAGGTCAATGGCGCTAAAGAGAACCCACCACCTACGACCAAAAATGGCCACTACAGCGAGCCCACCTTTGCTTCTGATCAGCTTAACTGAGGGCATGAAAAAATATGTTATCACTTTTATATGTGGTTTGCCAGTTGTTTGGTATGTTAGGTCCTTCCTTAATGGGCCCACATCATGGGAAATCAAAATGTTCTCATGAGACTTCAATGGAATATGTTAACATTTTAAAATATGCACTCTTAAAAAAGTGCTACAAAGGGTTCTCTAAGCAATGCCATAGAAGAACCACTTTTGGTCCCCTAAAGAACCATGTTTGAAAAAGATTTGTGAGTATGATGAACATTTTAATGGTTTAAAGAACCTCTAAATGTGGATGTTCTTTAAACTTAAAAACAGTTCTTCACACTCTCACATCTCAATTACAAAAGTGGTTCTCTATGGTTCATTCACTAAAAAGGTTCTTTGGGGAGCCAAAAGTGATTCATCTATGGCATCACGTGAAGAACCATTTTTGGCACCTTTATCAGGTATCGGTCCCTCGCCAGTCCATCAAAGATTTCAAAACATACCATTCACGCCCCAGTCCATGTGGTCCACATATGGAAATGAAGCCCGCTTTAGAATTCATTGCTTTTGTGATGTCACAAACAGCAATGCGCTCACATATATCAGTCTATAGCACTTTAGCTCCGCCTATTCACACTGAAGTTGTAAGGAGAGTTTCAGCCTAGATGAGTTTTTGAATACAGCAAAATACAAGGCAGCCAATAAGATCCCATCTAGGTGTTTCAGCCTATATGGGTTTTCGAATAAAGCAAAATACAAGGCAGCCAATAAGATCAGAGGTCATTTACATATATCAGCATAATAACAAAAACAACCGTTTTAAGAAGGAAGCCTTGCAAGTGTAGTCTACTGTTTCCCAGAGCTGTTTCTGGAAGTACCCCTGCTAACATTCGGCTAATTAAAGTCCTTCATGACTTTAACAGTGGTGTGTCACAGCAGGTTCAGTGGTCAGTTTAGTACAGCATATTATTAAACTAATTACAGTCAGCGGGCAGTTAAGAAATTTGTATTACATATTGTGGTCTAACTTGAGAGGTTTTCATTGTGCTATCTGACAGAATCAGAAATATTGAATGTATTAGAATACAGATGCATATCAACATTCAGTGACCCAAAAAGTATTTGGACACTTTGACTATTTATAACGTAACTTTTAAGTGCTTTGGTTCATAGAAAGAACATGATTTTGTATGGAAAAGCCTGGATAAGAAATTCCAGCCAGACTAAAGTAAGGACATTGCCATGTAAAACAGCAAAGTCTGGGGCTGTTTTTCTTACAATGGTGTCATGAGTTTGTGATCATTGAGGAAATCATAAACTCAGAAGTGTATAACAACATCTGGATACATGCATGCAAGTCTGAAACTGCTCAAACGATAGCTGTTTAAATAAAACTTAATTGGTTTGACATTTTGTTTCCTAGCACACTGAACTTTATACATTTTGAAGTAATGCACAAATGTCCAAATACTTTTTGGAGCCACGGTATATAAAATATTGATGTCTCAAATGCATGCTGTGAAGTATTTATGAAAAAGTGTGTACAGATGCTGTAACGTCTGGTGTATTGTTTCTCTGTTTGTCTTAAGGAGAAAACAGTTCCAAATATATATTCTGTATATTAATATTATAAACTTTGTAGTTAATGTAGATGCAGTATGCCTGCTTCAGTGCTTTGCAAGCCTTTTAAGTAAGGAAACCCATTTCTGCCAAGTCAAGGAGATAAAATTTAGCCTAATTTGATTATTTTCTTCTGTTTCTGGTGGCAGTGTGTCAAAGTTTTGACTTAGTATCTCGCAATTAAGACTTACTTTCTCAAAATAGCGAGTTTGTTGAAATAATGACTTTGTAGTAATAATGGCTTATTATCCTAAAATTACAAATATTTTCTTAAAATCACATAGTATCTTGGTGTACGAAACCAGCTGGACCAGCACAGCTGGTCACCTGCAAAACCAGCATGTATTATGCTTTGGATGCTGGGTGTCCAGGTAAAGCAGCACCAGACCAGCTTAACCAGATTAGACAAGCATGGCATTCATGCTGTTTTTTTCAGCAGCGTCAATACTTAAGTCAAAATTTGGAGAGCACATTATTTTGAAATTTTAAGTCTTTTAAGCTTTGACATACTGCTGCCAGAAACAGAATAGGGAAAAAGGCGGATGCTTGCTGCTCTGGTTGTTGGGAATGGGCTTCCATATATTTAGTGCCATGCTGCAAATAAAAAAAAAACAAAAAAAAAACACCATACTTGTGATGCTGTTAGCATTTGTGGCAGCTTTCCTTTGTACTGCTTATTTTAATCTGTTTCATCAATGTGATGAATAAAGGTGATTTTGAGATTGTTTTTAATGTCATTGTCACATAATAGCCTAATGGAACAGCCCGGACCAGTTGTAGTTGGAACTTCACTTTGCAAGAAGGTAGATGTCCAGGAACAGGGTTGGTGACCATTGATTTAGGCCAGTGGTTCCCAACCCGGGTCCTGAAGGAAAGGGCTTGTATACTTGGCTTTTACACAGAAACTGTCTGTAATTTAGAGTTTGGCCTTCAGGACACATAATGTGCAGTCACCCATATAGGCTGATGTGTGATATTTAGAGTGTCACAGCATGTGGTTGCTTGATCATATACAGAAAAATAGCAAGGAAGCAGTTTAAACAGCAACAGTTCAGTATATATATATATATATATATATATATATATATATATATATATATATATATATATATGTAGAGAGAGAGAGAGAGAACTACCAAACTACCAAAGAGCAGGTATTATTTGTGCAGTGGATCAGATACAGCAGTGCTGCTGGAGTTTTTAAACACCTCAGTGTCACTCCTGGACTGAGAACCAAAAATATCCAGCCAGCAGCGTCCTGTGACCACTGATCCATCTACAAGATGGACCAACAGGGTCGGAGTGTCTAACAGAGTGGACAGTGAGTGGACACAGTGTTTAAAAACTCCAGCAGCACAGCTGTGTCTGATCCATTCGTACCAGCACAACACACACTAACCCACCACCACCACATCAGTGTCACTGCAGTGCTGAGAATGATCCACCACTCAAGTAATATCTGCTCTGTGGGGGTCCTGGCCATTGAAGAGCAGGGTGAGAGGTGGTTTTAATGTTAGGTCTTATCGGTGGGTGTGTGTGTGTGTGTGTGTGTGTGTGTGTGTGTGTGTGTGTGTGTGTGTGTGTGTGTGCTCGCTGATTTCACGAATCAGGAACTATAAGAGAGCCCTCTACCGGCGAAATACCGCTACTGCGGCGTTTTAAGGTGGACTGGAAAAATTGAATAAATCGTCAAAAACGTGCCTTAAAATGCTTGTTATTCAGCAGTTACACACAGAGGCATCGTTTTCAAAATCTGCTTGAGCTTGAGGACCGAGTGAGTCTCCTCCTTTGGATTCTCCTGCAGGGGCTTATCCAAAGGAGCGAAACCGAAGTGAAAGTTTACTCCTCTCTTCCGGAATTGTGTCAGGAACAGATTCAGACGACACTCTGGCTGTGTAAATACTGATTTACACTTCGGGAAGAAGCTCGCAGGTTTATGTTTTTTCAGACAGTTACTCTCACTGTAGAGCACTGACGCCATGTTCACAGGTAAGGAGCTCATTAAGCCTCGTAAGCTTCATCTTCTACGTCGTGTTTTGACTGTTTTACCTCAGGAAACAGAAGGCTTTTCCAGCACTGGGCCCGAATTGGTTGGTCGAGCTGGAGAGAATGAAACATAAATATTGTAGAAAACTACAAATCTAAAAGTATTATATTTATAATGTTCGCCTGAACCTTAGTCTTCCTGACTGACATATCGGAACACCTGATCTAGCTGGAACAGTTGTGACCAATTGTGGTTGGAACCACAGGAACAGGGTTGGTGACCACTGATTTAGGCCAGTGGTTCCCAACCCGGGTCCTGAAGGACCCCCTGTCCTGCACACCAAGCTGTAGGCTATAGAACATATTTTTCACTTTAGCATTACGCTTTTATTATTGTCCTTACTTTTAGACACTTCAGTTTTGTAGTTCTGTGCTATTTCTTTCACATTTTTTTGCATTTTTGTCATTGCTTTTATTTGTTGTATTTTTTTTTTTACTTGTTTTACTATTTTTTACTACCTTTTGTTTCTATTTTCTTGCTGTTCTGTTTAACGTTGCACTGTTTACACTACTTTTATATGTGTGAAAATTGGTATACAGATGAAGTATATTGTTATTAGTTAGATGTCTTCGGTGACTGCATTCACATATGGAGAATATTCATGTCTACTTTTGTTAACAGCTGTAGTGCCGAGGTGGGTTTGGCTGTTTCTCCCTCTGACTCTCAGTCATGCGTCTACTAGTGAGTATAGTTGTTCATTATCTTCTATGCAGGGGTTTTCATATGAGCCAAATTCATTTACATCCTGAAACCAAATTTCTGCAGATCAAATTTGCAAACGGGTAAACAAGCTAGCAAGCAGGAAAATGTATGCAGACAACTACTTATCTATTATAGCAATAGATATGCAATGAGAGCTGTAATAGCCTTTTTAATATACTCCACATCTGCTCCCCATGAAAAAAATGACACTTCCTTAGATAGTATCCCCTGTTTGCTGTTATATATCTCATTAGGTCTTGATAGAAAGAAAGTTCAGTATTCAGTGCATGCTTCTTTTTAGAAATTCTACACAGTGTTAATATATCTAAATAAATGTGTTGGAGGATGGGTACTCTTTGACTAACAGCACATCACAACAGCTGCATAGGTAAATTCTGTCAAAAAATCAGTGTTATGTATAGCCACTTTTCCAATTGTACTGCCCAATTTCTCTCTATTCCAGATTTATTTTCCGTGGAGGTTCCTAAGGCTTCAGTCTCAGGCCTGTATGGAGGCTCAGTGTCTTTGCCCTGCACTGTCTCAAAAAATATAGACGTGAGACAGTTTGAAGTGCGCTGGTACCGTCCATCAATGTATATCACACCAGTTCTGTTGTACAAGAGTGGCCAGATTGTGGAGACTTCAGCAAATAAACAGTACCTGGGCAGAGTGTCCCTCTTAGGAGCCCTGGAAAAAGGGGATGTGTCTCTGAAACTGGACAACCTCATGATGGCAGATGAAGGACTCTACATATGTCATGTTGGCAGTGACAGCTGGTATGACAAGGGCAACATGTCCCTGAAAATACGAGGTAAAGCTGAACTCTGAGCTCTTCCTGAAGACTTTCTCTGAGTCAAACTGTTGTTGGCTTAGAGCACCATTTAAATGGTGATTCTTGACACAGTGCTAGCACTCACATTATGTACCTGGCTAAAAGGTATTGGTGAATTTCATTGTGTAACATTGTTCTCTCTCCTAGCGGTGGGCTCCACTCCCATCCTCTCTGTAGCTGATGCAGGAGAAGGTCATGTGAATGTTTCCTGTCACTCTCATGGTTGGCTACCAAAACCATCACTAAACTGGAGAGATGGAACGGGGACAGACCTGAAACACGTCAGCAAAGACATGTTCACTGAAGGTAACCCTGTTTTAATGCTCTCCCTTATATTTTCAGTGACATTCAGCCAAATAGCAAATTTACAACTTCCCTCTCACTCTAAATGTGGTCAATCAGTGTTTGAAACTCTGTAGTTTTGTCAACTGCAGCAACAGTATACACTAAAGCTTCTATTGCTTATAGCCACCAGTTAGCATTGTGCAACTTGCATGTCTAAATCATCACAAATCTCAAAATCTAGTGTTAAACAATCTCAAATAGATTTGTTTATGCATTTTCTGACCCTTTATGACATACTGTTATCTAAACAATTGGACAAAAGTACATCACATAGTTAAAAACACTAATCACAGCCAACCTAAATAAGCATGAGGAAAGTTCAGTTTTGTAAGATGGTATAGTCTCAGGGTTGTGTCTATACCAAATGTAAGCTCTGCTCTACCATACAGGAAACCACATAAACAAGAATTTTTGAGAAGCAACAACCTTGCATGGTTTGGAGAAACTACTGGTTTAAGTATGCAGTTTGCATGATGCTAATTGATGGGGTATTAACCCAGTACAAAACTAAAGAAGCAAACTAAAGACGCTAAACTTGGCTTGGTTGATTGACCACGTTTGGGGTGAGGGAGAAATTGTTTACATTTGATTTTTAGCCAAGCTATAGCTTTAAACCCTGACATAAACTCAGAAAGCTTACAATACAACAAAGATCAACAGCATTTGAATGAAAAATTCAATAGTAAACATGTTAATGTTCCTGCTTTGTCAGTTTTTCCTTTGCTCCCATACGTCTACACTGTCTTCTAAAATTACCTTTCTTCACTTCTCTCTCTCTCTGTCTGTCTCTATTTCAGATTCTGAAGGATTGCTGAGTGTGAGCTCTTGGCGGCTCGTCTCTTCCTCTGAGTCAGGGTGGCTGTCCTGCTCTGTGGCTTTGTCTGCCTCTAATCAAGAGATGAGAGAAAGCAGAGTTGTGCCACACACTCAGACAGGTGACACTCTATATTTACGCTGAAAATGTTCCCATTACTATATCAAGAAAATTTTGTCTTGCTTTTTCAAATAAAAGCATTTTATGTATTATGTTAACAATTGTAGTGCATGTATGGAAACTAAACAGTGAAACAACTCATATTAAATTCAGTATGCTTGTGATGTCACAACCAACATGATAAAACTCCACCCATCCTTTCAGGTTGATTGGAAAAGAGTGTTGTTAATGTAGACAGCCTGTAACAGAGTTATTGTAGCGTTGTGGGGGAAACGATTAAGCGTTATGCTGTTCCTAGCTGTCAGGAAGCAAATGTATCATTGCAGCCTTCCTAAGGATCCACACATCCAAATGGAGTAGGGTAAACCTAATTTTTCCCAATATACTTGTGGATTTGGTCAATCAGCACCAGGGACAAGTTGACAGGACACTTTACTAGCCAGGCAAAAACACCAAATGTGGTTTAAACTGTTTTAACTCCAACATTGTGAAAGAGGCACAGTCTTCATGGCCAAACATTTTAATGCCTTAAACCATTCAAATAGCAAATGATTGTTGCAACAAACTCATAAGTAGGCAAGAAGCATACTAAATTTGGCCCTAAATCTAAAACAACATAGTCATGTTTTGATGGTGGGAATCTCTGAATGAAAACAACACATAACAATATTTCAGAGGAACGCAAATATCACAATGAATCTCTCTAAACAAATAGAACACAGTCACAGCAGAAAAGCCTCAATTCTATGAATTTGTTGGTTTTGTATGTGTGTAGTTGCAGATTCATGGAAAGAAGCCTTCATTGTGGTCCTCCTCATCTTGCTGCTGTTCATCTTGGGGTTTGGAGTGTATTTTATGCTAAATCGAAAAGGTGCTTTACTAAAGTAGGGCTGCACTGGTACTTACACCATTATCTATTTCAGGCAACCACATTTGACTCATGAAATCCTGAAGTCAGTGAATTTTTTACGTGATACACTGTTGGCTGATAGAGTGCTGTCTCACACTGAATATGTGTCTCTTGTGTTGAAGGTTTGATTTGTTCCAAGAAACAGAAGAAAGAACATGCAGAAAGTAAGATGCTGGGATAAAACTTTTATTGACAAGCTAAATGAATGAATGTCTATTAAGATCAAAAACAGAAAAGACAGGTCACATACAAAGCAGCAATAGCTTAATATGTTGCCATCAGAAACTCAACCACTATTGCAGCCTTAAAATATTGATTATGCTGATACGCAAGTCAGAGGGACATGATTTAAATGATGAGCTGCTGTCTCAATTACAACAGAATTATTAGTGATATTATATGAAAGTGGAATTCCTGTAAAATTAAGTGGTTAAGATGTAAACAAAGTCATTCAGAGTGTTTTGACATGAAGGTTGTAGACCTGCTGTGTCAGAATTGTTCACAGTGGTGGTGAAAGTTACATGAAAAGGTTACACTGCCTGTGCCTGAGACATTCTTTAACATATTTTTAATTAAAATTCATGGTTATCACTATTTTATCATTATCAACATTACATATAAAACTCAGAAGACTTGTGTAGGTTCACAGGTGGTTTTGGATGGTAAATAAAATGGCTATATTTGTATTGTAGGCCTTGTGACCCCTGGTTCCTATCACCACCACTGTAAAGAGATCAGTAAATTTCTCTATAATGAACCATTTCAGACCAATGGCATTTCATGTCATTTTGTGAAGCCAGATTCAGTTAATGAATTTTGCAATGACTTGTAAAAAAAAAAAGAATTGTCTGTTTACACTAATATTGCTACGTTGGTTAATTGTTGCTACATTTTCCCTAAATACTACCTGTACTTCCTTTTTTACAATCTGTAGATCTGATTCAGAAATGTTGGGTTTTCTTTGACACAGCATTTCATTTTGGTACGTAAATCAAATGTGATTTACTTAGATCACATGTAAAAATCTCATAATCATAAGGAGGAACGGGTACATAATCACCACCACAATGAGTAGTGCAGTTACTGAGTTTTATGAATCCTTAGTATCAGAAATTCAACCACTGAACTCCAGTGTGGAGAAGGAGCAGCATGAAGCTCCCACTGCAGATGCACCTCATCAGTCTGTGTTAAAAGGTTGGTTAAAACTCTCACCATCTATTCATGTTTGTTCATATTGATTTAGACCTTCATACAAATGTCAGACCAAGAGTTCTGCACTTTTCACCTCAGGGAATATTCTAAAAACAGTGTCTGTTCTTGTTGTTGTGTTCATAGGAGTAGATGACCATCAGGTTCCTGAACCAAAGGTTGACGGAGCATTCACTGCAGGTAAGTATAATTTAGAGCAGATTAAAGAAGATCTAACATTGAAATCTGCACATGCTGATCTGAGCAAATGGAAACAACACTACAATAGATGTTAAAGATTTAATGTGAAATACATTTCAGTAAAAAGGTTAAGTATTACTGGATGAAATGTAAGGCTAGGTAATAATAGGTGTATATATAGATGTTAAGGTGTGGGGATAAAGGAGACTTCATTGATAACATCCTGCTGAAGAAATGATAATATATATTAATATCAGATGTTTCAATGAAAAGTTAGTAAACAGGCATAAGCCTTGTGTATTATTATTAAGAAACAAAACTACTGAATTCATCTCCTATGGATAAAGATCAGCAAAAACAGACCATACAGCTACACCTAAAGCACCTAACTGCTACTAGCCGAGATTGTAGGTTGCCGGAGAGCAGCAGTAAAACACTTTGTATAAACATTTGTGTACACTTGTTGGAAGTTTTACATCATACAAGTTTGGGTAAATACTTCAAATCGAGAACATTTTACAATACAACACACAAAACATTAAAAATGTCTGTAGAGTTGAAAGTGGTCTCTGTAATTTTTTTTTTAATATAAAGTTTTAAAGCTACTTTCATTAATGTAATTGTGTTATGGTTGTGTAAACATACATTCATCAGCCACTTTATTAAGAATGCTTGTACGGCTTCTCTATCCTGCAGTTTTCCAATCAGCCAGTTATGGGGCAGCATTGCAGTGCATTATCAAAATCATGCAGACATGGTTCAAGGGCTTAAGTTAATGTTCACATTAAAATGTATGCAGAAAAAATGTGATCTAAGTCACTTTGGCATAGCTGTTGGTACCAGAGTATTAAGTATTTCAAAAACTGCTGATCTTTGGGATTTTCATGCACAACAGTCACAATAGTTTACACAGAATGGTGTGGAAAAACAGGAGACAGTCCTGTGGGCAGAAGACTACAGTAACTCAAACAACTACTCTGAACCACATTGGTTTACAATACATTGACCCTTGAGGTGGATGGGCTACAGCAGCATAAGACCATGTCGGCTTCCACTTCTGTCAACCAAGAAGAGGAATCTAAGGCTAGAGTGGGCAATGGCTCACTAAAACTGGACAGTTGAAGCACCTTTTAAATCTGTCCTGAAGAACTGAGGCTGAGAGCTCTCACCAACAATATTTGCTGTTAAAATGTTAATTACAGAATATTTCATAGAACATCCAAGAAAGTTTGAGTATTTCAATGAAATCTATCCAAAAATGAACATTTCAAAATGAATTCCTTTTTCACTTAAATAAGTATGCACATGATATTATGAAGTAATAAGTGATTATAGACAGATTCATACAGTTTAAGGTGTATATTATCTGTATTAAGGAAACGTATTCAGACTCCCGACTGGAATAGCGTGTGCAGTGATGGGATACAGTCCTCTTCATTGTCTTGATTGTCAGTGTTGCAATCAAATGTTTCAATAATCAAACTGAACTTGTACCAATAGTAGTATCTCCTGTATCTTCTGTTCTCAGAAACTGACTCAGTGAACCCACCCCATGTGGATAAAAAGCATCAGGAGCAGAATAAACTTCAAACTGTACTTACAGATTCTCAGACTGCATTAAAAGGTGGGTCAAAACATTACATCATCACATGGACTTCACACACTTGGTTTAACACAAGAGCCTGAATATAACTTAATGGAATCCTATATAAGTATATATAAGTACCCTTTATAAATTTAATGTGCTGAAAAGGGTGCTTTAATCTATTTCAGAAACTGCCGATCTCCTGGTATTTTCGTGCACTGCAGTCATTATAGTATGTAAAGAGTGGGGCGAAAAACAGAAAACATTTAGTGAATGGCAGTTCTGTGGGTAAAAGGACTGTTTTTTTACAACAGTGTTTTACAACACGCTGAACCCTTAAGTGGATGGGATCTCGAAGAATCCAAACTGTTCTGAGATCAGTGGGGGGTCCTACCCAGTATTAGAATGGTTTTCCTAATAATGTGGTCTATAAATATGGAGTCTCACCACAATATTTGACCAATTTGTTAAAATGTTCACCATTTGTACCATGCTGGTTATCTCGGGAAGATACTTTTAGGCATGGACCATTTTGGATTCTTAACTGGCTTGAGACTATGTTCTATTCTATGACGTTGAGAGAGCATTTCATCTGTATAAAATCTATCCCAAAGTTAACACTTCAAAAGGAATTCACTTATTATTATTTACTTCTATTAATACACACATGATATAATGAAGGAACAAGTGTAACAAGACAGAAAGGGCCAGACGCTCACAGTAAAAACCAAAAAATGAGGCTTGAATATCAAAGGGTTTGACAAGAATTGTGGTCAGTAAACAGACGTGGGTCAAATCCAAAACAGCAAATAGGTACAAAAGGGCAACCATAACCAGAGGGCAAAGACAAAAGGGAAAAAACAGAAATCCAGAAAAAACAGTCCAAACACAAAAAGGCAATCACAAAAACACAGGAGAAATGCTCAGTAGCTCTACAGGAGAAGCAATACCTCGCAATCTGGCTACATTAGTGAACCTATATGTAAAAGCCATATACAAATTCTCCTGCAGACATATTAGGCTTTCAATATTGAACAGTTGCTGCAATCTAGCAAATGTACATAATTATACCTTTTTTATTTAAAATATTGATTTATATTTTATTTATATAATTTGTAATTATTTAATCATAGCTCATTACTGGTGAAGACTAACAGGTCTTCCTTAGTGAAGTGGTGGAACAAACCAATCTGGTATAAAGAAGGACTGCAAGTAATTTGTCCTAATTATTAAATAGTAAAAAATTATAACTATTGCCCACAGTTAAACTCCTCATCACTTGAAATATTTACACTGAACTGCTGCCCTAGCCTTAGTTTTTTAGAAAGTGCACGTCTATTAAACTGACTTTACACTTTGAAAAGTGCAACTATTATTTTTATTTGATTTGTTTCAATCAAAGTATTTACCACATGAAATAAAGTGTACCACTTTTCTGCATTGTACTACCATTCACCAAAAGTTTTTGAAAAACTCCTATAACGCATAATTTTAATAATCAGACTTACATATGCACACTATTGTAATTTAGGTGAGTCATACAGCTTGTCAGTTTATTTTGAAGTTGGTTCATATTCTTAACTCCAGCCTAAGATATTGAGTAGTCTAAAACCTAGTCTACTGCTGTTGTGATTGACACAACTACTGTATTGGTAATGTGTTTGATATTTTTATTTAAGCAGAGTGGGACCAGATGAAAAGGTTTAAAGGTAAGAAATGACCTCACTTTAACACAACATTACTGCACTCTTGTGACTATGTATTGTAAGTTAATAAAATATTCTCCTCTGTTTCTGCAGTGAACCTCACCATAGACCCAGAAGAAACTCCACAGTTCCTCATGATAACAAACCAGGGAAAGTCAGTATGCTGCCCTGATTTAGAAGAGGTAGATAATGATGATAAAATCTTCACTTTGTGTAAAGAGAAGTTCAGCTCTGGAAAACATTACTGGGAGGTGAAGGTGATGGAGAGAAATGAAGATAAACTCTCGTGGTATGTTGGAGTGGCGAGTGATGAGGCTGAGAGAATGTACAGGGTCCCTTTAACTCCAGCTAATGGATTCTGGGTTCTCTGTTATGACAAAGAATCTGAAGAGGACTGTGGAGTTTACAGTGTAAATTTATTAATGCCACAACAGTTAAAAACAGTTACTAAAAAGTCTTCAACACTAGGAGTGTTTTTAGACTGTGATGAACACACTGTGTCCTTTTATGATGCTGATAGAAAATCACTGATGTACACTTTCACCAACATGAAACCTGGTAGATCACTGTATCCTCTGATCAGCCCCGGAATAAGAGACAGATTTCGCATAACAGTCTGTTAAAAATAAGATGCAAGGAGAGAACTGAAGGACAGCTTTGTAGTATTATTATCTTATAAAGTTGGTGATCTTATCCTCTTTGATTATATGGCACGAAGTTGTGTGTGTAGCAGGTGTGTATTTGTTGGGTGGATTATAAGTCTGCACAGCATATCTAAGTAGAATTGTCATTACAGCCAAATCAGTGTTGGACCTTTTGCATCACTGTAATCACAGCATCATGTTTTCTATTTGAAAGTACAGTAATACGTAATGTTAAGATAAAACACTGTTGTGATTGAATTATGACTTTGACATTTCAACACACTTCTTTTTGTAATTTCTTTTGCAATCATACACCGTGTTTAAATATATCACTGTCACATTAAAGCTCTAAAAAACTTGGGAACAAAAAAAAACACTTATTACATTAATTTCCATGATAAGAATGTTTTTCCTCCTCCTGTAAAATTACCATTTTGGAGAGACAAGTTTTTTTTTCTGACAGCTGGAATTTCTGTCTTTTTTCCATTATAACAAAGTGAAATTTAAAGGTTTGGAATGACTTGCCGTATTTACAGTTTTTGTTATTTGTTAGTAAATAATAAATAATGTATGGTAGTTATCCATTTATATACATTCGTGAAGTTATCTGCCTTGAGATTTGATCTTTTCAAGATTGCTACACAGCTTTCTCTGTCATTATGGAATATATTTTATTATTTTTAAGGCTCTGCTCACTATTCTGGACACATTATTTACAGCTTCCTAGTGTCTTACTAATTACCTGAAACCTATTAAGATGCAGGACTCTCATTTACACACTTGTCCCCAACTAGTTTGGTTTTATATTATTGAAAACACTGATTCTATGTTTATATTCAAAGAACTTTTGATCTATGTATATACTCACATAAAATGTGTGACTGACATTTATTTGCATTAATACATGACTTTATACAGAACGTATTGAGTGAATTTTATTTTAAAATATTTTTTATCTAAGCTTTTCACATACACATGCTCTGTGCTTATTCCAATATCATTATTAATCAGATAAGATGAAGTATGGAGTGTCTGAACTGTATGGAAGACCATCAGATATCCATAATATTTTAAGTGGCAATGTACTTCTATTGTGTTGTCTTGAAAATAACTGTGGCTTACTTAAGGACCACTGGTGCCTTTTCCCATCCAGTAAACTGCTCTGGTGAGGTTTTTACTGGTTATTGATTAGTGTTTCACTCCCCACAGTATTCATGAAGAAAATAATCACAGTAATGTTGATGTTGATAAAGAATGGTATGACAACAGCATGTGTTGGTTAACAATTAAATTTTATAGAAATAACTGACAGTTACAATTCATTCTTCCTTTAAAGCAAATGATGTTTTCAGGTTTTGCATCTGAACTTGCATTAGGAATGGAGGACTTTTTGTGATTGCAGGTCATGAAAATGTCACCATGGTGGTAATAATTAATTACTCCTTTCTTTTAAATCATGGTGAAGACAGTAATACAGTGTATTCTGTAATACAGGTTTCTGGTCTACTTCATCTGGTGCTCTGTGTTATCTCCATTTTCTTCTCTTTCTAATATTTACTGATCAAATAGTTTCCCTGTGCACTTTGATATAAATTTTTGGGGCCTCAGTACATTTAAAATGTATAACATTTTCTGCAATTAACTATTGTGCTTCTACTATCATCTCAGTGTGTTTAAAACATGTGTAGCCTAATAGTAACTGACACATCTTAATAATTGTAATAGCTGTAAATGAGAGCTATAAATAAAGTAGAAAAGCTACCACAGAATAAAACCAAATCAAAAAGTACTGTGCCTACAGAAAATCTGCAGTCACTTTTTGTCTTACAGCCGGAAATCAAAACTCACTAAAAATCTTTCTCCAGCTTTATTTACACATTTTGCCTAACATTCAAGTAATAAGGAAAAAGCAAATGGTTCTGAAAATGAATAAAAAATGAAAAACTAGAATAACAGGGTTGGAAAAGTGATCAGTCCCTTGACTCAGTACTTTGTTGAGCCACCTTTTAATTACAGCCATCAGTCTGTTGAACATGTTCCTACCAGCTTTGGGAAATAGGTTGGGGAATATTTGTGCATTCATCCATGCAGAATTGTTAGAGTTCAATCAAATATCGTGGTGACCAGCCATGCTCTGTTCTCAGGTTTTCCATTGGATTTAGGACAGGGCTCTGCCTTGGCTGCTGAAGGACATTCACCTTCCTGTCCTTAAGCCACTGCTTTGTTTTTTGGCAATGTGTTTAGGGTCGTTATGCTGGAAGGTGAACCTCCTGACCATCTTCACCTGTCTAGCAGAGGGCTGCATGTTTTCCCCAAGAATTTGGATGTACTTGGCAGCATCCATTTTCCCTTCAATCCTGACTAATTGCCCAATTCCTGCTGAAAAGAAACACTCCAACACAATATGTCCACCACCGTACTTCACGGTAGATATGGTATATTTTCAGTGGTGTGCTGTGTTTGGGTTTTCACCGCTTGGAGTTCAGTCCCAAAAGTTTAATCTTGGTCTCATCTGACCGTTCTTTGCAAGACATTGGTGGTGCCATACACTTTCCACTTATCGACTGTGCTCTGAACAGTACGCAAAGGGATAGTTAAAGCTACTGATTTTTTTGTATCCTTCTATTAACTTGTGCCTTTCCACAACTTTATCACAGAGCCCTTTTGAAAGCACCTTTCCAACCGTGCTGAATGTTTGTGTTACCTTACACTGCTAGTAGTGGAATCCTCAAGGAGCAGCTGGTTTGGTTCTGAAGTAATCAAAACGTCTACAATTGATGTGAGCCAGTTAACCTGGTGTGTGATCTGGAAGGTGATTGGTTGTGGCTCATTAGCCTGAGGTAGGTTGTACCTGAGCAAGTTTATTTTGGTTAAAGTCCATTGCATGGCTATTAAGTGATACATTTAGCCTTAATTAAAAATCCAAATTAGTTAGCCATATTAAATTAGTTTAGGTTTGGGAGTACATACTGTTTTTGTTTATAATTAAAGTTAATGTGAGTTTTTACTGTTAACTGTTTAATATTTAAGTTAATAAAATCTTAAGTCAATAAACATAAATCTTTAAAAAAGCTATAAACAAATAAAAACGTGAATACATCATAATTCTTGTTTTTTGGGAAAGTTAATATGTAAACCAATTTTGATCAAATATAGTAGTTTTCAATGAAATATAGCTCTGACGTAATTTTAGACACATAGTGTAGTTTTACGAATTGCCTGCACAAATGAATAATTTTTAGGTGTGAAAAAATATGGATGCACCACATAAAAAGAAAATAAAAAAATACTTGATCAGAGCGGTCAGAAAAAAAAAACTTGTATATCCAAAATTTTACAGGAGAGAGAAAAATTTTCTTGTACTAGAAGGTAATATTAAGCTGTAGTTTTTATAAGTAATATGAGAAATTGAAAATTTTCTGTTGGTCCATTCATCATGACATTCAAATACAATGCAAAGGGTAACTGGAGCTTTCAAAATATGATAATATAAAAAAATACAAAAATAGAGATGAGTTTTTTTGCATGACATTGATGATTAGTTGTCTGCCTACAGTACTGTGCAAAAGTCGGAGACCACTCTTTAATTTGCAGCCAAAACAACCATTATGTCACACATTCTTCTAACCTCGACTTGCACAGGGACTCCACTTCCCAGAATCCCTTGGGAGATCATGTGACTGTTCAACCTCATTGTTCAACCAATCATCCCTCCAACTCTCCTGAACACTGATCTGTTTCACCTGTCTTATGACTTTCCTAGTTTAGTATATAAGCCCAGGCTTTAGTGTAGGATAGTTGTGAGGTATTGTTTCTCCTGTAGAAATACTAAGTGTTTACTTTGTGTTATCAGGTTCCCTTTTCATGTATTAGACTGTTTTTCTGCATTTCTGATCATTGCCTTATGTCTTTGCCCTTCTGTTTATGTTTTCTCTGTTTTGTCATTTTGCTCTTTTTGGCCCACGCCTGTACTACGACTACGATTCTTGCTGATCCCCTTTCTATTAAAGCTGCATCTCTTGGACTTTACCATGAGCGTCTGTCACATTACGTGTTAGTGTTTGTTTTCATCTTCATCTTTCATCTTAGCATTAGGGGGCAAAAAAGCTGAAACAGAATTACACAGAAGCCTCAACAACCAAATCTAGTTCAAAACTCTTTGCCTTTATTACAGATTCCATTCTTTTCAGGAGACCTGCTTTCAGTTTCTCAAAGAAATCTACAGGGATATTTTTCCACACTTACACAGAGTTCAGTCTTAGAACTTGATTGCTTGTTCTGCCTCTCACGATTCAAGTAACCCCAAACACATTCAGTGATGATGAGTTCTGGACTCTGGGCTGGGCTGGTCAGTCATCTTAGTATTTCCATTAAAGCTGACAGATATGAAGCAGGATAATTACACAATTAACATGTCTCCCTCCTTAAAGTGTATGTTTTGTTGTTTTTGGTTAAAGCGTAAATAAGTTCCTCTACACAAACATAAAAATGACACTTTCCTGTCCTTTTTTTTTAAACAAAAAGCTATGTGTGAATAGTGCCTCTAAATATTACACACACGTTTTACAACTGAGTAAACAAGATTTTTATTATAGCCAAAAAAGCATCAGACGACACAACATATTATCAAAACAATGTCAAAGTGTAAAATGCCAAAGCAAAGGAGAAGGATTACAATGACATACTACAGTGTTACAGTATTCAGTTCGGTTTTATACAGTACAGTGTTTTGTCATAATGTTACATATTACTGTTCTTTCAAATAATAATATTAAGGTTATGATGACTAAAATCTGTTCTTGAGGTCTGTGTTTTCTAACAGACTGTTATGCGAAATCTGTCTCTTATTCCGGGGCTGATCAGAGGATACAGTGATCTACCAGGTTTCATGTTGGTGAAAGTGTACATCAGTGATTTTCTATCAGCATCATAAAAGGACACAGTGTGTTCATCACAGTCTAAAAACACTCCTAGTGTTGAAGACTTTTTAGTAACTGTTTTTAACTGTTGTGGCATTAATAAATTTACACTGTAAACTCCACAGTCCTCTTCAGATTCTTTGTCATAACAGAGAACCCAGAATCCATTAGCTGGAGTTAAAGGGACCCTGTACATTCTCTCAGCCTCATCACTCGCCACTCCAACATACCACGAGAGTTTATCTTCATTTCTCTCCATCACCTTCACCTCCCAGTAATGTTTTCCAGAGCTGAACTTCTCTTTACACAAAGTGAAGATTTTATCATCATTATCTACCTCTTCTAAATCAGGGCAGCATACTGACTTTCCCTGGTTTGTTATCATGAGGAACTGTGGAGTTTCTTCTGGGTCTATGGAGAGGTTCACTGCAGAAACAGAGGAGAATATTTTATTAACTTACAATACATAGTCACAAGAGTGCAGTAATGTTGTGTTAAAGTGAGGTCATTTCTTACCTTTAAACCTTTTCATCTGGTCCCACTCTGCTTAAATAAAAATAATCACATTATTAACACAGTATTATGTTCAAGTCATGTTAATCAAAACAGCAACAAATACAAAAGACTTTTCACTGCATATCCTAAAATAAATATCACAGATCCAACATTTCATTAGTTGGTTATTTTAGTTTTGTGGTTGTTGATTTTCTCTCTTTTGTAGATAGAATTTATTCATATACAGAGTTGTAGTTGATCTTTATCCACATGGTGTGGGTTCACTGAGTCAGTTTCTGACAGCAGAAAAAAACAAGACTCATGTTCAGTGCATGTTCAGTTTAGGTGACTCATTTTAATGTTAATCAAATTCATAAATACTCATTAAATGTATCTAATGTTTTTATTTTACAGTGTCTTCACATTGAAACGTGCAGAAGTGTGTTCCCTGTAGAAGGTGTATTAACTTATTTACAGAAAATCAACAAAAAATGGTGCCTAAATCTTTGCACATTACTACCACAACAACAACAACAACAACAACATCAGTGACAACAACAACCACACACACACGCAGAGGAGTTTTGACCAATCTGCTGATACAATCAGGTTATGTGTAGCTGTATTTTCTGTTTCTTCTATTCAGATTTACTAATGTAAAAAACGGTTTGTCAGTTCAACGTAAAAAAAATTACTTCATGTGGTAACAAGTAAATAAACTAGTTTTATTGGAGCTAAATAAATACTTTGAATGAACGTTACTACATTAATAGTAATTTAATTTTAGGTTGATCTGGAGAGCCATTTTTCACAGCGCAAACTCATTTTGGTGCTCAAAAGTTGCTGTTGTGATTTACTAATTAGGTGCAGTGGAGCTTCAGCATAGTAATTAGGTTGAAGATGTGGTTGCTGCACTTTTGCACCATTGGATATGCATTTATAAGAGAGTTTCCCTCTCAAAGTGCAGAATACTTGGAGCAGATTATTAAATAAAGCACCTACCCGAATTTATCAAGACTCATAGTGAATACTTACCGTGTACTGTTTAACCTGTGAAAAAAAGCTCATTTTATTTTTGTTGGCATTAACAGAGCTGCCATTGGTTGGGTTTAGAGAGAAAAGAGAAAGTTTTATTCATTTATTTACATATATGTTTTTGAATAAAAAAGCTCCACTCTTAAATGCCTGCTATGTCACTTTATTCTTAATGTCATGGAGATGAATGAATGAATAAATAAATAAATAAATAAATAAAACCATATAGATTTATAATATTTAGAAAAATGTTTTTTTCCTTGTTTTTTTTTCCTAAATCTTTGGGTATATTTTTACAACAGAAACGGAAAATCAAAAAATAATCACTTGATTTTCTCAAATTTCTGCCAAATTCATGAATTATATATAATTACATGAGTCAGAAGTTTGAACCTGTAACATTAAAAACCTTATTTTCTCCTGTCTGGTGGAGGCGTTCGTAAAAAACGCATGTGAGGCAAACACCTGGGCATATCGCGCTGCTCATATGCTAATATGTTGATTTGCAGAAGGTCTTTGTAGACGAGCCACTAAACTTACCACTCCCGCCAGCACAAGGTGTCAGTAGACTGTTGGTAATTTAGTGTCTCTCTTAGTACATCTGCCCCACAGTGATTACCAGCTTCTCATTTAAAGACTTTTAACAGTTACTATAATTAATTCAGCATTTACTCAATCAAGTCTGCTTTATTCCCACATCTTAACCTCTATACATCCATCCATACTTACTCCAGAGTTTCAGTTTAATACATCATTTAAACATTACTTCAATCAGTTTCACAACTTATTTCAAAATAATCTTTAAATCTTTAAAATCTGTATTTATTGTTTAATAAACTGAGATTTAAATTTGTTCATGTGTTCTAACTAATGGTGTCTAACTGATGGTTTGACACTTTTTTAATTCCAGTCTGAAGCCCAGCTGCTCCTGTGCTGTATGTTGCTATGACTGCAGCCTTACAAACACAAACTGTGCAGCAACAGATGAGCTATTGTCTCTGACTTATGTCTGTGTAGAACTACAAAGTGCTCCTATGTGGTAAGTGGAGCTGATAAAACGAATAACGAGTGTAGATACAAGGTAGTTTAACCTAAAAAAGTGGTCAGTGAGTGTACATGATCAGGGATGAAAACTGGAAACTGCTCATTCATTGGAAAATCACATGATTTCCATGTTCATGTTTGAAAACAATATTACTGAATTCTTAAAAGTAAAAAATGCATTATGATTAATCTAATTTTGTAATGAACTAGTTGTTAAATAGAAAAAAAACTACTTAGGGACAAATTAGATAATATTCTAAAAGACAAACACAATTAATTGCAATTATCTACACAAAAGAATGCAATTAATCATGAATTAAATTTTTGACGGCTCTAATTTCAACACACATTTACCTGCAGCGAGTGCTCTGTCCACCTTTGGTTCAGGAAACTGATGGTCATCTACTCCTACAAACACAACGACAAGAACAGACACTGCTTTGAATATTTCCTGAGGTTGAAAGTGCAGATCTATTGGTCTGACATTTGTATGAAGGTTTAAATCGATGTGAACAAACATGAATAGATGGTGAGAGTTTTAACCAACCTTTTAACACAGACTGATGAGGTGCATCTGCAGTGGGAGCTTCATTCTGCTGCTTCTCCACACTGGAGTTCAGTGGTTGAATTTCTGATACTAAGAAACAGAGTTAGTGCTGTTTTGTATGTAATCAGTTTTGTGTAACTGATTTGAAAAAGATGTTATTATTCATTCAGCAGAACATCTCACTTTCTCCATCTTCTCTCTTCTTTTTCTTGGAGCCAGTAAGACCTACAATACAGAGACAGACACTCGTGTTTATCATTCTGGTTCATCCATAAAGACCATGATTAAAATAAATTACTGATGCCATTCGCAATATCAAAAAGTGACAAGCAGTTATTAATTATTAAGTTTATTGATAATTATGTTGCATAACTTTCTAATGGAAATGGCAGCTCATCATTGAGTGAGAGTCTGCTAAACAGCACACAGGTTCCTGTGACTTTGGCTTGAATATCAGAGTATTTTAACTCAATATTGATAGTAATATAAGGAATGCACCTTTTCGATGCACAACATACACTGCAAGTCCAGCAACACACAGCAGCAAGAAGATGAGGGTCGTGATGAAGGCTCCTTTCCACGACTCTGCATACAGCACTACAGTACAGGAATTAGTTCTTATTTAAAGGTAAATATGCTCTGAATCTTATGGTTTACTGTTGACGTTGTAGCGTTGGTTGCTGTGTGTATGTATTCTTTGTATTCTTTGCACTCTTTATGTAATTGTCTGCAGTACAGAATTAGGCTTCCTGGTGTAAGAGGCCGTATTGTGTCAGTTCTATTTGTCTGTATATAATAAGCACTGTGGTGTGTCACCTGTACAGTTATTTGGCTGCACTCTGCACTCTTTCCTCTCTGGATCAGAATCAGAAAAAACCCACAGAGCAGGAGAGCCACTCAGACTCAGAGGAAGAGACCAGCAGCCAAGAGCTCACACTCACCAGCCATTCAGAATCTGAGACAGAGGGGGACAGTTAAGTTAGTTCTCTTTTTAACATGAGTAAACATTAATTTGCCAAATTCTGAGACAATCATTAATCATTTTTCAGGAGACATTTGTAATGAGATTAAATATAATATAATCCACTTGCATAAAGAAGGGGAAAGTCAAAGAAAAATAACAGGAGTTTCCAAACAGGTTTGGCCTGGTAGACCAACAAAACTGTCCTCAGTTAAACAACACTTAAAGCTTTCATCTTTGAGAGAGAGGAGAAAGACCTCAGCATCACTGAATGGGTTTGATTACTTTGATTGTGAGAAGCAGAAAGTGCAACTAACTAAGACTGAACTTTGGAGGTGTTAAAAATATCCCTGCAGATTTCTTTGAAAAATTAAAAGCAAGTCTCCTGAAAACATGGATGCTGCATTAAAGGCAAAGAGCAGACCCAAATAAAATGATGCATTTAGTTGTTGAGGCTTCTGTGTAATTTTCTGTTAAATATGTTTTCTGTTGAAAAATAACTTTTGTACATAAGTAATATTACCTTTGATGAACTTTGATTTGCTGAGGTATTTGAGGTCCTGCCCTTCTCTGTCTGTCCAGCTAAGTGATGGTTCTGGTGACCAGCCATCTGAGTGACAGGAAACATTCATCTGACCTTCACCTGCATCAGCTACAGAGAGGACAGGAGGGGAACCTGTAACTGAGAGAGAAAGAGAGAGAGAAGGAAGAAAAAGAATAAATAACATATATACCCTCATATATATGAGATATGGGTATATAGCAACCGTACACAGCATAGCAACCTTGGGCCACTACTGCTAATAAAATATAAACAAAAAATCAAATAATTAAACATAAAGTGTCTATTGTGAAGAACAACCACATACAACACATACAATAACCACAACAAGAGATGTTAATCATTTGGTACCAGTTTTTGTTATTGGACAAACAGGAACAAGACTGGTTTGATGGTCTGAGGTCGTTAGCTGTTCCTCTAATGCCTTTTTAAAAGCCCGCAGCCTGAAAGACCAAATACTAATTTAGCCGACTAAATCCAAGTGATTCCTGAAAGGTCATGAATAGCTGGGCTTGACACTCACCTTTCTCCTGGAGTGACACTGTGGCCTCATCATACCATTCTTCTGTCTTCTCCACTCTGCATATGTAGTATCCTTTATCTGCTAGTGTGAAGTTCTCCAGTTTCAGAGACACATTTCCTTTCTCCAGTCCCCCTGACAGGGACACTCTGCCCCAGTACCGAGGATCTCTGGGGTTCTCTTGGATCTTCTGGTTCTTATAAGAGAGTACTGGGGTGCCAATCTCATTAGGACGATACCAGAGCACTTCAAAGGTTACTGCATTTAAGGTTGGAGAGAGAGTGCAGGGCAGAGACACAGAACTTCCAAGCAGGCCTGCGACTGGAGCCTGAGGAGCCACCACTGAGAACAATCCTGGAAGAAATAGTGAAATGGAGATGGCTAAACATCAGTTAAACTGTGTGCTTAAAGATTTTTGGCATATGCTTTTTAGCTCTTACCTTTTCCATCACAGGAGGACAGAAAAACAACTAGCCAGGTCCACCTCACCAACATGGCTACCAACTAGAAGAGATAAACAGTTAGACTTACATTAAAACATGAAGGGCTATGACTGCATTATTACACGGGCAGTAGTTCTGATACATCTACAGACCATGTGCACAGTTTGTGCTGGCTATCTAGCCCAGTGGTCACCAGCCCTGTTTTTTTGAGATAGCTTCTTGTTACAGCCACAATCTGCCACAACTGCTCCAGCTAATTAACTTCTTCACCAGTCTCTGATTGGCTTGATCAGATGTGTTAGTAATAGATAAAGGGTAACTTATGTTATATGCAAGTTGGTACTAAAGTGTGCAGAACAGTAGATGCCCAAGAGGAGGGGTAATAACCACTTCTAGCTTTTTTTCAGTGGTCAAGGAATTATTTTCTCAACTTACATTCTCAACTATTATTGTAGTACTCAAGTCCAGTCTCAGGCTCCAGACTATAAAATAGCAGTCTCAGTCTTGGTCTCATCCTCATTTGGACTCTATCTTGTTTCGGTCTCAGGGTAAGGTGGACTCGAAAATTGTTGTGAAGACTGGACCAGACCAGAGTCTGATGTCTCCATCTGAGGTAACTGGAAGAGGAGTCATTTATGAATATCAACAAACCCAGAACAAACACAACAGTCCTTCTGTGCATCAGGGGTTTCCAAACTTTTGCAGCTTGTGACCCAAATGACCACAAAAGCTTCCAGTCAGATTTTTTTTTCTGCCTCATCTAAGGAGAAGGCTAACTTGAAAGCTACTGAGCGCTGGATGTCAGGCTGAGGGAAAACTGCAAATAGAGCTCTGGTTCTATTTTGATATATATTCACAATGTTTACTCTCCAAGTGATGGTGTAAGTTCTTGTGTTTCAAAGTTTCATTTGAAAAGATCACTGAGCCAACAGCATAGAGCTGTAGCTACTTGTTTTCTGTTCTCACACATGTAAAGCAGCACTAAGTATTCATTGCCATATTTCCTTCATTTCAGTTATGCTTACACTCAAAATATACGTATAACTAGGTAACTTTTTGCCAGAACAATCAATGAGCTATATATGTTTTATTTTTGCAAATAATCAATAACTTTATTATTATAGTCATATTTAAAATTTCCTTTGGTTAAATGTCTGTATTGTAAGGATTTTCTGCATTCAAATATAAAAACTGCAGTACCACCACTGCCCACAGGTTGAAAACCACTGTTGTATATGTTTGAGTAAAATCTGCTGGTTAAGGATTTTATTGATCTTTCCATGATGGTTTAACTGTTTTATCTGGTTGTTAACGATTATAGGTTCAATCATCATCCACTCAGGGCAGATTGGAATGTTATTATTTTTTATTACTATTAATATTATTTCCCTCAAAAATAGAATAGTTTGTTGTAAAATCTCTCTCCACATTTTTTTTTCAGAGGCTTAAGACAGCTTTTCATTTGCCAGCTTCTTGTTTGGATATTCCCCTTACACTTTAAACGGTGCCTGAGACGCCAAAATGAAACTGCTGCACCATTTAAGGTGGAACGGGAGAATTCTAACGAGGAGCTGACTTCAGCTTTACAACTTTTTAGTGTTTGACAGTTTCCCATTGCAGATTAAACATATCAGGAAATGAGCCGGAGTGATTAGAAGTGCAAATAAGTCCATTCGTCTCCAAATTATCCATGTTCATCTTAAATCTTTCTAGTTGTGTGACCAGCAGTCTGCACGCCAACCTTCAGGGTCAGCGGTTGGTGAATTAGCAGTTACACATTAACTCCACCGTTTACGACCATTTACTGTTAAAACTGTGTTAGAAGATCAGCCAAGCTTTATTTTACTGCAAAATAGGGTCATTTTATTTTTACCTAAAAATCTAATTTTGCTGTGGAGTGCAGCTTAGTTTCTCATTTGACTTTCGGTGTTGATTCTGAATATGTTTTAAAGGAGAAAGGAACAGAGAAAAACCTCACCACTGCTTCTAATTACAGTGCAGCTTTTAAATAAAAGCTATAGTATAAAAATACATAATGTTTTAGGGTATACATTATATTATTTTCGATTTTACAAAATATAAAATATCATATGCATTAAGTACATAAGGTATTTTACATATATTTAAACTGCATATTTCTGAAATACTGTTCCAAAGTGTAAACCTGTTAGTCAGCTTTATGGTGCAAAGATTATCAATAAAGGTCTGTTGGGTCAAATAACTCAAATACCCTGTTTGTACACACGGTAAGGGGGATAGAGCTGTATAACCCAAACAAACACACAGAACTCTACAGAAGAACACACAGATGTTTCTACAAATCAGATAATGCCTAAAGTTAATATAGGTTTTCTTTCTGTACTGTTCATATATGAAATTAAACTCCAAAGCAGTGAGCCTGTTTCTCACTTCCCCATGAATGACTGACAGACAAAAAAAGGACTGTTTGTATCAGCCTGGCTGATTTGAGCCTCTCTATCAACTTTATAGGTTAAGTTGAAAGCAGTGAAGTGTCCTGGTCCAGCAGAGCTGTAGGGGAATCAAATACACTCAGCTCCATTTGTGGAAACTTTCACAAATCCAGCTCTGCTAAATCAAACACATCATTATAGACTTTGATTCTTAGAGTCTTACTTGCTTTCACTTTCTGTTCTCGTGGTCTACGTAGACGATAGACAGACGAAGTCAAAACTGTGAAATATCACAAAGCAGCTGGTAAGTTTGAACCTGGTTTCATTCATCTGATGGTCAACTGTTGAAGTTTAAGCTTTAGGATATAAAACCCTGAAGTGTAACGTAGGCAAATGAACTATTTGCAGGTGTGCGTTACTGCATTACTCAACACACTCATAAATAAATAAATAAATACATGTAAACCACAACCACATCAGCTGAAATCAAATGCATGTAATATAAAAAGTGAAAAATCACTATTTTCATGTTGTGTATTTTAATACAAGGACCTACAGGCTGTAATGTGGCTCTTACCTGTGAACCTGTTTAGGGTGAAGACAGAGAGCCTCGTTTAGTCCATCCTTCTGTTCTGTTACTGATAAAGTTAAACTTTCACTTTCTCAACAGCTGAGCTGAGACACCAGTCAGCACACAGAGGTGTGTCCGAAACTGAGGGCAGCTGTCTGGCAGCTGTCTCATTGGTCATTACTTTAGAAGACAGTGTTGTCCACAGAGCTGGCATTTCCTGCTGTTTTTCCTTATCGCATAGTCTCAGACACAAAGGATTATGAAGGCAGAAAAAAAGGGGTGAACAGCTCTGGGCTGGTGTCCAGCACAGTTTGGAGGCACGCGCTAGGAACTGGATATAAGCTTGAATCAGAGCCGGTTTATGAGGAGTCTGGCCACTTCATATTCCCCCCGTTATATCAGAAACAGCAGAGGGCGCCCGCGAGTGAGTCCTCAATGAATGGGAGTGAATGGAGCTCAACGGCTAAAAACGAACAGTTAAAATAGTTTCTGATCACTTGTCCAGAATATTTCTTTAATTTTAGAAAGTAGAAGGATGTATTTCACTAAAAAAGCAAAGAAATCTTACCCATATATTTCACTTTTTCTACAGCAAACGGGTTTTGGGCAGCAGAAGGCGGGCATTAGTGCTAGAGCGTGATGATTGATTGGCAAGCGGAGCAGCTCATTGGCTGTTCGCGCTCACTGACGTCATGGACATACAGGAGGCGCTGTTTTAAACGCCTATAACTCGAGTTTAAAAGCTCTTAAAAATATAACAGCAGTGTTAAAATGTTTTATGCTGTTCTGTGTTCAGGAAATGGTTGAATTCTTTTACGTTAAAAAATGTTTAAGCATTTATAAACTATGATTTTGCTCAAATGCTCCATATCAACCCATTCATTTTGGACTCACTGGGGAGCGCCCTCTAGCGTCTGAGAAACCCGGAGACAGTGGTAATTCTCCTCTCTGCTTGAATCCTCTATGGCTAAAGTGAATGAGGTGAATGAAACAAACCTCTCCTTATTGCGCCTTGTGGTAAATAAAAAGGTTCAGGACCTGATGTGTTTCGTTCTGTGTACATTTTTCTCCCGTATTTGACTAAATACTCTGAATTACGAGGTCGTTTAAGAGTCGTAACACTGATATTGCCACTATTGCAATTAAATGTCAGTAGGCTACAGGTTTTGCAAAGTGTGAACAATAATGGTTGTGCGGTGTACAATTATTTACATACAAACATAGCACAGTCAGCAAATTCAAGTACTAAAAATAAGATAAATAAATCAGTAAATGGGGGGCTCCTGGTGGAACGTGTCGAATGATCATGTAGTTTTCATATACCTCACTGTATGTATAAAAAAAGTTGCCGACAATAAAGTAACATTTACAACCATTTCAGAATCCATGCCTTGGAAAGGCATTGTATGCATCCAATGCAAAATCATTGGGTATAACCAATAATGCAAATCATCCTAAAAGGTTGCTACGTTTGTGCTTTCTTTACAGAAAGCACAAACTTTTCATCCAAATTAAACCTTTGTCTCAAAAAAACTCCTTAGATGGGTGTATTCCATTCATTATCTTGAAATGAAATGGGGGGAAGCTATATTAAAGTAAAGCAGCTGTTCAGATGTATTGTGCTTCCGTAATGCATATTTATAGGTAGCTCTGTACATAAAACCTCTGGGTTGGATAATCTAGATCACCTTATCAAAAAAAGCACCATCAGCATTAAAACTACGAAGCTGCAGTCCACTTCTTATTTGCCAGCTTCTTGTTCAAATTTCCCCATTTCACCTTAAGTGGTGCCACAGTTCAGGCACCAGAATGTAACTGTAGTGCCATTTAAGGAAGTACAAGAAAATTCAAACAAGAACCTGGTGAATATCCTTATCAGAAAAAGTTACCAGCATTAAAAGAATGATCAGGATATTTCGACAGGCTAAATCAGCCTATTAGGGGTAAGCAGTAATGTGAGACTGTGCTGAGTCAACTTTAAAAGCACATTAAAATGTTGGAAACACTGAGTTATTACACTGTACTGATATGTGCACACTTGGTAGCACCACTTGATGGCGGTCATATAACTTTGTGGTTTGTTCAATGCTGATATAGTCGATATCTACTGAAGTTAACATGCTAACCAGCTAGCCCTGGCCCGTCCTGTCTCATAATACCACTTTGTAATTCAACAGGTGATAGTGAGTCACTCTGGTGATGTTGCCCACTTGTTTGCAGTGAGGAGTATGAATTTGACAGGTTGAGTAATCTTACATATTATCCTTTAAGCAGACAGCAGAGACTCAAGCCCCCATTAACACCTGCGGGAAATTCTGCCCATTTCACCAACGTAGCAATTGTTTTCCCCCTTTAAGATTACAGTGAAGTTGTGGAACATTTTGTAAGTGTGAGGGTCTTGTGAGCATTTTGAGCCTAATCACAGTTTCTGATGAGCTGATTTGAATAAAAACAGGTTTGTTTCAGGCCTGCTGCCCTGCCTTTCAGATCAAAGTGCCCAAATTACAGGATTTACAGGAAACCAAATTTTAAAACAGTTTAAACGGGTCAAAGTTTTGTGGTTCCCTAAAGTTAAGCTGTGTCATATTTGGGTAAGTTACCTGCTGACCTCCAATCAGTTTAGTTTCATTAAAAACGTATTTAAACAACACTTTGCTGATTGGCTCTCGGTCAGGGATCAAGTTTTGATGACCTGACCTGTTACTGTCCCACCAGTATGTATTATTCATAAATTAAAACCTCCCCAGCTGTACATGCACTGTACAACACCCAGTTCAACACATAACTTACATTCACAAATTGATTTCATAAAGAACATAATATTTATGATTTATACTCCCATGAAAAAAAAAATATTTGTATACAGAATAAGATGAGCATGATAAAGAGGAAAAAACACAGTGCAGTGTTTTTTATATTAGGGCCTACATCATGTAGACAAAGTCGTCAGCCTATGATAATAATAAAAAGATGATTAAAACATATGGTAATGAATTTGGCTTTCGTGATGCATGTACACAAATCTGACCAGCAGGTGGCGCCAGCCTGCGGTATTTCGAGCGTTTCGAAACAATGAATCATTTTTGAATCAATTCAAAACTTCAGAAAGACTCGTTTCTTCCATGACTAGAGTTTATTTCTTTGATTTTTTTCCCAACTTAATTGACTGCAAAAGACAACCATGGAAAACCCAGGGATTCTCCTACTGGCTCAAAGGAGAGTCTAAGGAGAGGAGAGACAGATAGAAGAGAGGTCTGAGCACAGCACGCGCAAACAAGAAAGACCCAGGACTAAACCCAAAAAGCCTCTACCGAAATTACCAGCCAGTCTGCTGCCAGAACTCTGAAACAGCAGGACTGAGCAGGAGTCTGTGGGTGAGCTCGGCTTAAGAAGGGTGAACACAGGTGGCACTAATCACCCTTCATTACCGCAGGGCCGCACTGTGCCTCCCTCTGGTGGCTGGTCGTGGTATTGCAGATGGTCCTTTACAACCCTGCTGAAAATAAACAGCACATAAAGCCATATAAATGACAATGCTGGGTGACCAGCTAAACCAGCACAAACAAAAATTAGCTTTATATCCTGTTTTTTATACCAGCTTCCAAAACACAAATCTGCTGTTTTTTGGTGACCAGCCATAGTGGTCCATACTGGTTTTTCTAGCAGGGAACAGCTGGCTAGGTAGTCAGTACCATCCATTAGTGGCCTGTTGTAATAGTTATAATGCATGTGAGCCGCTTTGCTTCATAAGGGCACAAAAGTTTAATGTCTATTTCATGCTTTTGTAGATTAAGAATATCTTAGCCAATTCTAGGGTTCAAAATCACTGTTGGCCTGTTACAAAAACAAGAATTATTCATGTCAACAGCTTGTGTGTCTTACTGTAGCATTGTGATAAAATGGCACATCAGTGTCTACTGACCAAAAACATCTTCAAGGAATAAACACAACGAAGGAGACTGAATGTAGTCTTTTTTATTCATATATAAGTACAGAAAAGACATAAAAGAGACTAAAATAGCCTTTTAATACTTAAAATGTAAACACATAATTTAACACAAAATGACCATAAGACATTTTATAATAACGTCTTAATCTTCTGTTAAACAAAGAGCATCCTGTGTAGAAACTTTTTAAAAAGTTCAAAAGTCCAGAACAAAACTAGTTCAACAAAGACTGTTATAAAGTGCTTCAATGTTGGACCTATGATGTCAGGCTACAGAACTAGAACTGCATTCAGATTGGAAAGACTCTCTTTTGTCTCTCAAATCGCAGTGAGGATTGTTTATTTGAAAGGAATTGAACTATAAAGCAGCTATGCAGAAAAGAGTATCGGTGGCACTTTGTCACTTTTGGTCACTCTTAGCTTTAGGCTAGCAACAACAGCGCCTCTGGGAGGAGAGCCCATAGTGGTTTCACAAGATAATGTAACGAGACGTCACTGTCGTAAGAAAACAGTCGCACTACTGTTGTATTGTGTGAGATTTTGAATGTTTGGACCGTTTCCATTGGTCCACTCCTTATGAAATGTTTATACGATGTAAAGGGTAACTGGTGTATACAAATGGTGTGGAAAAATGTAAGTTCAAACGTTTAGTTATGACAGTGACGCGGGAATTGAATTGCAAAAAAATGATGAAATTTAGAAAGAATTAAATCCTGAGTTATCAACTCAATTGTGTGCAATACCCGCTGATAGGACAGGTAGCCTACAATTGAGCTGTTAGTCTTCTGGTGCCAGATATGGTCTCATAATGGGAACATCTGGGGGACACCAAAGAGAAATACTAAGCTAAACGTGGGTGAGAACGTAGACTTAATGGGGGGATAAGCTGAGGTTTTAAGGCAGCTCTCAAAGTAGGGGGGGGCTATGTTTTGCCTGTCAGTCGACAGCAAGCCTGTTGTCAGTCTATTAACGGCTGATAAGTCCCCCAAAAACTCCAATTTAGCATATAGATGTGTCATGTGTGTGATAAAAATGAACATTTTAACATTAGCTTGTTTTGCGGGGTGGGTTTTAGAGGAGCCATACCCTTGTCTGCAGCGGATTAAAAGCTTAACATGTTGTCCCCAGATGTCTGTTCCACTATTAGATCACATTTGGCCCCGCAA